CCCATGACAGCAATCTCTGAAAAGACTCCTCCCCACGCACCCGCGGATCCCCTTGCCGTTTCAGAGGCTGGCCCGTCCGCTCCCGCTGCTGTTCCGTTTGCTCCGCCTGCGGCACCTGGCCCCCTGGCTCCCCTTGTCGAGCCGTCGGCGTCTGCCCCTGCTGGGGGTGTTGCTGAACCCCCTGCACCTGTCCCTGGCGCCCCTGTTGCGCCGACCGCTTCTATCCCCTGTTTGCCTGCGCCGGCCTCTGCTTCGTCACCAAAGGCGGCGTCCGCCACCACTGGCGAACCGGCTCCGTCGGTTGCGCCCGCGGCGGCGGGTCAGTCCACCCCTGCTGTGACGGCGGTGGCTCCGGCAGGCCAACCGTCACGCCCTCCGTCACCTGACCGTCGCTCGTCGCGCCCCCATTCCCCCGCTCCCCACCAGGACCGCAAGTCGTCTCGTCGCCGGCGTGAGTCTCCACGGCGGTACCAGCAACAGTCGCACTGGCCTGCTCACCCCGGGGGTCAGGGGGATTGGAGGGGTCCCTGTGCTCGTGGCAGGGGTGGGGGGTATCGCCCGCCCGTGACGATGGCGGATCTTCAGCGGGAAGTGTCGAGGGCGGTTCGGGAGGAGAGGGCGGCGCAGAGCCAGAGCAGTTCGCTGCGCGCCTCGCCAGCCCACGAGGCACCTCGTCCGGCTGCGCTCCCCCCGAACCCGCAGCCTGTTGCTGCGCCTCCCCCTCAGATCCAAGCGCCGCCAGCTCCTTCTCCCGCTGTATCGGCACCTGCTCCCGGCTCTCGTCTCCATCTGCCCCCGGTTCCGCCCGTTGCGGGAGTGGAGTTTGTGGCCGCGGGTGGCGGCTCGTTGGCGGCTCCGTTTGCTCTCCCAGTTGATGCTGATGAGCCGCTCCAGTTCCTTGCGGAGGCACTCCAGCCTCCGCAGACCCGTGTTCCCGAGGCGACGCTCGGACAGCTCCACCGCCTCGCTGACAGTCTCCACGCGCTGCTGCTGATTCAGGTGCTGGCCCACTCTTCTCTCCCTGTGATCCCTCCTGAGACCTTCCGTGGCCGCCAGCGTGACTCTTGCCTGGACGCGGCGGACCAGCTCGCGGTGCTGCTCGCGCCCGTGTTGGCTGCGCCCGCGGAGGGTGGCGCTGCTGCTGCGGGACAGCTTGACGAAGCCGTCCGGGGCTTGAGGCGGCACTTGCGCGCAGGATCTGGAGCCGCGGCGATCGGCGCAAGCACGCTAGTGGTCCGGGAGCTGTGGCGCTCCCTGACGGGCATTCTTCACGCCCTTGGAGCTCACTGCATGTAGATGCGGGCTCCGAGTGCCCCATGTTTGATTTGTTTGTCTAGGTTGCCGTAGGAAACGCCATGCTTGTAATGCTGTTGTTTATGAGCAACTGTGTGTATTGCCACTTGCCGTCCCCTCAAGCGCAGCCGAAGGCCGCGCTGTCGAGCGTCGGCCGCCTTCAGCGGCCGGCGCGAGCAAAATTTTCTGCACCAGCCGAACAATGAGGTGAAGGGGCCCAGAGGGGCCTCTTATATAGCTCACAAGGAGAGGGCAGAGGGCTAAAGGGAGAGGGCAGAGGCTAGAAACCTCTCTCTCTCTCTCGCTCTCTCGATCGAGCGAAATTTTTTGCACCAGCCGAACAATGAGGTGAAGGGGCCCAGAGGGGCCTCTTATATAGCTCACAAGGAGAGGGCAGAGGGCTAAAGGGAGAGGGCAGAGGCTAGAATCCTCTCTCTCTCTCTCGCTCTCTCGATCGAGCGAAATTTTCTGCACCAGCCGAACAATGAGGTGAAGGGGCCCAGAGGGGCCTCTTATATAGCTCACAAGGAGAGGGTAGAGGGCTAAAGGGAGAGGGCAGAGGCTAGAATCCTCTCTCTCTCTCTCTCTCTCTCTCTCTCTCTCTCTCTCTCTCTCAAACGGTCCTTTGTATTGATAATAAGGGTAGGTATAGACATGCAAATTCTAGGGATGGATCCCAGATAGCACAAAGACAAGCAAGCAAACACAAGGACAAGCAACCTCGTCGCAGGGGCAGCCATAGGTTTCTACTGCCAACGGGACAAACCCAGCATACTCTGCCCTGCCGCGGTATAGGCCTATCTTTTTATCTGCTGCCTCCCGTGCTGCCCAGCCCCTCCCCTTCCTAGCAGTTTCGTCCCGTTTGCTGATGGGATCTGTGATTGTGATATCTGCCAGCCACACTGCCCCCGAGCTCCCATCCCTGAAGGCCAATTCGGCCTTCTTGTTGTCCACCGGGCTGAAGGCAGTGCACTCCTTGTGCACATCAAATCCTGCATCCTGTGCCATACGAATGCACTCGTCCCGTAGCTCATCGTGAGTGTTGGTCCGGCCATGCCCAGTACCGCACCACAGCAAGTGATTCGGCAGCCTCTTATCTAGAATGGGGACTCGTTTGCTGCAGTCACAGCAGTCAGGTACAGAGAGCGGCATGCCGAGCCGGAACTGTAGGGTGAACGTGAAGTGGCAGGGGTATAACCGCAGGGCTGGCATGTAGGGGATTGCCATGAGCCAGTCCCCTGCCCCATAGCCTGTGAGGGACATGAGGCGTTGGGTGTGGCCCAGCAGTGGATTCAGGTCCATCTGTCTGGATGCGGTGATCTGGGCAGCACTCCGGCTCCCTTGGACTAAGAGAGCAAGGCGGTGCTGTAGTTGGCCTTTGGGTTTTGCCTGCTCTGCTGAAATAAGATCCCTCGCCTCCTGCGTAAGGCTGCTCCTGCAGTCCTGGATCCACTGCTGTAGATCGTTCGGGCTGTGGTCTGCTGCTTCGGGTAGGTCTAGTGTTGCTGTCAGGGTGGCCCCTGCTTGGCCCCCTAGCTGGCCAAGGAGTGTGTGGGCCTGTACGAAGCTCGCCAGGAAACTGTATCGGCCCTCTACTGCAGGGTCGGCGAGGCCCAGGCCGCCTAGGCTAGGTGGGAGTGAGGCTTGGTCCCAGATCCGTCCGTCCTCTGCCTCGCCCCTTGGGTGGCGCACCCCGCAAGCATCTAGAAGCGTGTACAGCAGAGCCCGGCCCCACCCTGACCACTCGGCTTCGGGTAGCAGGTACACAGGGGTGGTGCGGGCTAGGTAAGAGATGCGCCTGGAGATGCACCGTGTTAGTAGCAGCGCTGCCACCTGTGGGTCCATGCTCGCTATGTGGGGTAGCGGGGATGACATTGCCTCTAGCTGTGACCGTAGAAAGGCTGCCGCTCCTTTTGTCGAGCCGATGAAGCTTCCCAGCACCCTCAGCCCCTCCGTGCGTAGTGGGACACCCTGTGGCAGCTGCTGGGGATCTGTGACTGCTGCGCTCCATGCGGCGCACTTCTCTGGGTTGTGGGTCAATCCTACGTCGCGGAGTCCTATAGTGAAATGGCGGAAAGCTTCAGAACACTCTGCTGCAGGGCCCAGGAATGTGATGTCGTCGGCGAATGCTAAGCACAGAACTGCTGGGTAAGACGCTGTTGTTTTAGAGAGGATGGGGTGGATCCCCGCGGCAAACAGCAGCGGGCCGAGCGGATCACCTTGTCGCACGCCTGTCTCGCTGGTCAGCGCCTCGCAGCCGAACCCTGCGTCAAGGAACAGCTGGGCCGGCCGACTATATGATGATTTGACGAGGGGGAGGAGGCCCTGGAGATCGGTGTCGCGGAGTGCACCAACTACTGCTGCACGGCTAATGGAGTGAAACGCGTTCGCCAGGTCCGCCTGCAGTATAAGCGCGTCCGGGTGTGCGCACGTAAATGCTCTCGCGGCGTGGATAATCGCTTCGCTACCGCCCTGGACGGAAACGCAGTACTGTAACGGAAGGAAATGCGCCCGGCATTCTTGGGAGAGGGCGGAGAGGGCGGACTTTGCGGCTAATCGCAGGATACATTCTCCTACCGCTATCGGTCTAGTGCCTCCGTCGGGCTTGGCTAGAGCTATGAGACGGCTGGCTGTTAGTAGCGCGCAGACCTCGTCAGGCAATTTGCCTCGCGGGATAGTGTTGACGAGGGCGTGGAGGTGTGTGGTAACCCCCGCGTTGGCGAGTGATTCATCACGCAGGTGTTCAAATGTCATACCAGACGGTTCCCCTCCCACCCCGTTCTCGCAGCGGCACAGCATTTTTATGAAGTCCCCTTTTTCGATTGATGCCGCTTGAACTGTGTCGGGGATGTTCCAATCGATGATTCCAGGTGGCGCGGGGGAGTGTTTTGCTTTGAGAGCAGCGAGGATGGTTGCAGATGGGTCAGCGACCGGCGTTGACTCGAGGGCGAGGATCGCCCTGCGAAGACTTCCTTTTCGCGCGAGGCCCTCTGCCATCGCGCGTTTTCCAAGGGCATCTGGCGTATGACGAGGCGGGTGAGGTCCTGTGATTGCGGTAACAGCCGGGTCGTAGAGCTGCTGCCATTCGCCTTTGTTAAATTGGCGAAGTCGGTGCTTGACTGCCGGCCAATCGGGCTTCTCCGTTGACGGGAGGCGAAGGGTGAGACGCGGGATGAAAAGTAACAGGCGCCAACCTGCGACTGACCCAGGGTTACGCGCGAGGTGTAGCAGTGGTGTCAGGAGGGCTGTGGCGAAAAGGGGGCGAATGTCAGAAGGGAGTTTACGCGAAAGTGGGGGCTGACGACTGTCGCGTAAGGGAGTCAGGTCCCACAATTCAACTTCGCCGAACCGCTCCATGTCCTCAGCCAGTTGCTCTGGCGAAAATTGGCGGGTCTCTGATGCGATGGTGTCCGGTTCCTGCAGGTTAGGCTCCCCACATGGGGCAGCTGAGATTGGAGCGGCTATGCGTGGTACTGGCCGTGCCTAGCGTCTCCCTTCTCGTTCCTCGTCCTCTAACTCCCCCGACTCTTCCGTGGTGGACTCTTCCACCGCCGCAGCTATAATCGTAGGATCGTCCGCCTCTTCCTCAGCTTCCGTTCGATCAACTCTTCGAATTAAGGCCCGGCGTGCTTCCCTCTGGAAGCCATTCTCCGGTCCGCCTCCCCTCCCAGTCGCTCCTCCTCGTCCGCCGCCTCGTCTGCCCCGCGATGCCTGTGTCGGCTGGCAACGATTATTATTCGTATTCGCCGCGGCCCTTTGTCGTGGCGTCCGCTGCAGTAGCCCTTCCGAACTTCTCGTCCCCGGCGCCAGCGGCTGTGGGGATGTCGCCTCTTCCCGCACCTCGATCTGCGCCGTCATCCGTGACTCAGGCTGGCCCTGTCCTTGCGCCTGCTGCGGCGCCAGTTCCTGTCGTGGCGTTGTTGTCTGCGCCTGCCGTGGCACTTGGTCATGCGCCCGCGTCGTCGCCTGCTCCAGCGCACGCCTCGGCGTCTGCTCCTGCGCCCGCTCCTGTGCTGGCTGCGTCGTCCGATCCTACGCAAACTCCTGCGCCCGCGCCGGTGGTTCCACCTGTCCCCGTGGGGGTGTCGACGCCCATGCCTGTTATCGCGGCGTCGTCTGCTGCTGCTGTAGCTGCCTCCGTGCCACCACCGGTTGCGCCTGCCGTGGCGCCTTCTGCTGCCGATGCGGACCCGACTTACCAGCCCCCTCCAGCCACCAGCGCCGGCCTGAGCTCGGCGGAGGTTCAGTCGCCTCGCGTGACGCCTCTGGTTGCTCCGGCCCTTCTGCCTGCGGCAACACGAGCGCCGCCTCCGACCGTCCAGGCTGGTCCTGTTCCCGCACCCCTTGCTGCAGCTCCCCCCGCTCAACGTCCTCCTTCCCCGGGCCGTCGGCAGCATCGGCCTCATTCCCCTGTGCCACGTGACGAGCGGGAGACATCCCGGCGGCGGCACGATTCACCTCGGCGCCGTGGTTCGCAGGCGAACTGGGCTGCACCCCGTGGCGGCCGAGGTGGCTGGTGGGGAGGGCGTGGTCGCGGTGGCGGCTGGGTGTATGAGCAGCCGGTGACAATGGCTGACTTGCAGCGGGTTGTGTCGGACGCGATGCGCGAGGAACGGAACGGGCAGGCGAGCGTGAGCAATTCTCCGCGCCTCGCTCCTGCGCCGGAGTCCCTTCCTCCATCTGCGCCCCATGCGCCTGCACCTCCTCTTCCCTCGTCTACCGCTCCTCCTCCTCGCGCTCCCGTTGCATCTCTCTCTCTCTCTCTCTCTCTCTCTCTCTCTCTCTCTCTCTCTCTCTCTCTCTCTCTCTCTCTCTCTCTCTCTCTCTCTCTCTCTCTCTCTCTCTCTCTCTCTCCTCCTCCTCGCTTGTCCTCTCCTGCTTCTGCTGCTCTCTGCCTTGGTGTACCCCTGCAGGGAGTGTTGCTGCACTTGGTCATCCGCTGCAGGCAGTTAGGGGGTGTGTTGGAATATATTTATCTATATTCTATATAACTCTCTGCTGTGTAGACTGTAGTGCATGTAATAATTTGCTGTAGGTGGTGTACCTCCTTTCTCCTTGCTATACCTTGTACTCAGATTCTCTTAGTGCACCTCTTTGGCCAAACCCCCTCTCTTGATACCATCTCGATGCTCCTATCTTCTCTCCTAATCTCCTAATCTCCTAAGTTCACAGTTTAACCGTTTTAGCATCAACTAAGGCTGGATTAGTGTGCTTCAAATGTAACAGCACGAGCTAGCTAGCACGCACCAAAGCCTCGCGAGTTAGCGAGTTCGATTTTCATGATAGATAGACACATTTCCATAAATTTCGCCCAATCAATTTTCCCAACTGCTTTATAATTCAAGATTCGCCTAAATGTTTGTTTTCTCACCAATTGTTTCCCTGTGACGCGTGACATGCCCAGGTGTTGTTTCAATTTGAATATAGTGAGGAGGAATGAGGAGCTTGTTAGCAGCCTCTCCGGGCACTGAGTAATCTCTGTGTAGTTCTTCCGTCGCCCAAGTCGCGCGCTATGGCTTGTGGCGGGGCTCCCTGGCGTGGCCCAGCACGGATTGGTGCACCGGATTTGCCAGGTCAGCACCACGTCCTTACATCCCTCGAGTAATGAAGTCAAAATTGTTTAGCTCAAACTGTTAATAGTAGCATTATTTTATATGATTAATTTTTTTTTTGACATATACATTTATGAGGACAATGCATACATCAAAAGCAGTCGTAACTGAGCGTGAGGGCACTGCACCATGCACTGCCCAGTAATGCATCTAGGGCGGCAGGAACGCCCGCTTTGGCTTGTTCCAGATAGCAGCGAAGTTTGTCGACCACTTCCATTTTTTGTCACCTGTCTCCCTTATCCTCGCCAGCATTTTTTGCTCCGCTTCGAAAACACTCCTGACCCGTTTTCCCTTCCCTGATGTCCCTGGCCGCAAGCTTTTGGCACCCATTGCTCTCGTGTACACTCTCGCGTGTAGCCTAAAAGCCGACCCAATCCTCCTGAGAACCCTCCGGGCTCTGAATTTCTGCCCTCGGAAAGTTGCTTCACATCTCTCCACCCACAGCTGATGAAAAGTAATCGATGTGAGGGTAGCCTCCGGGAAATCCGACGCCGTTCCGGTTTCCTGGAACAAGAGGTCCCCCAGCGAGGCAGTTGTCCTCCCTGGATTGAGCATGCGCAGAGCACGACGGAGCCCTGAGACAACTGGTTGAATTCTCGGGCAGGAGAAAAGACAGTGTTCGTGCGTTTCCTCCACTCCGCAGTATGGGCATTTTGGCTTGCAGCTGAGAAAATCAACTCGCTCCCCGACCTGAAGGTTCAGGTTATGCACCCGTGTGAGGACATCTCTCGGTCGGCTCGGGATGGCCAGCGAGTTGCGTGTGCGAATGATTCGCTGCCAGTCAATCTTGCCGCACCATCGACCAGACCACTTTGCCTGCTTCGTTAGGACTGCATCGGGTTTGGTCCACACCTCCCTCATCCGCTTCAGAGAAGCTGCTCGCTCTCCGTCAAAAATTGCTGACCGGAAAATTGAAGCCGTGGCCCCGCGACACCCCCCTGCTGTCACCGCTGTAACCGCTTCTTTCTCCCCTCCTCCTCCAGCCGTGCCGTTGGGGATCAGCAGGGTTTTCCACTCCTCCGGGGCTGCAGCAAAGGCTTTGAGAGCCAGCCGAGCAGAGTCCTTGCCCCTCAACTCTTTTTCCAAGATATCCATGTCCTTAACTGCTGCTTCGCCTGAGGGCGATGTGGTTACCAGGTCCCCCATGCGAGTATCCCAGAGCCCTTTCGCCTCCTTCTGCCCGCCCACTGGGTTAGTGCCGTTCAGCAGCACGTTCCTGTTGAAAATAATTCTTTCCAGCGCCACCTCCTCCTTGCTACTGACTTTCCCTGTGTCAGCGAGAGGCGATTTCAGGAAAGTTTCGCAGGTCTGCTTCCACCGCTCCCCGTGTCCCGGCCAGTGCTTCAACACCTTTTCGTGCGCCGTGAAAGTGTCTTCTCCCATCGGGAGCCCCGCCGCTTTAAGCATGATTTCTTTTTTCTTGCCGTTCCCCTCCGACAGGAGTCCAGCGATTCTCCTGGCCACAAGACAAGCCATGAGGACCTCCAGCTCCACAGCACAAAACCTCCATCCGCCGACGCGTTATTCCCCGACAGAAAGTTATGAATTAACTTCATCAGCTTCTTCCAGACTTCTTCCGGTGGGGGGTAAACTTGAGCCTGGTAAGCTACCTTAGGCGTGATGTAGCAGTTTATGATCACCACCCTTGCCGCAATCGTAAGGAAAAGCGCTTTCCACTTGATCAGCTCCACTGTAATTTTCTCGAAAGCACTTAACCATGTCGGTTCGCTGCTACCGGAGGGGGTGATCCAGACCCCCAGAAGGCGTTCAGCTTCATCTGCCTTTGCCCATTTGAAGCCCCCCAAAGTCCCAGGTCTCCTTCCAAGATTATGCCCCAGCGGCATGACAACCGATTTTACCGTGTTGGTGACCAGACCTGACATCTCTGCAAATTGCTTCAGTAGTTTTCCTGCCCTGGCGATCTGGCGTTTTCCCTCCAAAAACAGTGTTGTGTCATCCGCGTAACCCAGGTAAACTAACCGCTGTCCAGCTTTGTTGCAGAGGCCCAGCTTCCGCCTACACGCTTCTTGCGCAAGCGGCTCCACCGCGCAGAGGAAGAGGTATGGAGCAAGCGGACACCCCTGCCTCACCCCTGATTTTACTTCCACCGCCTCTCCCAGCCAGCCATTGACTAGTAACCTTGTCCTTGTATCTCTGTGCAGGCCTTCCACCCAGCCTACGAATCTCTCCGGGAAACCCATATCTCTCAGGATCGTAAAGAGGAAACTCCGGGACACCGAGTCAAAAGCCTTACGGAAGTCCACCAGGAGCATGTACCAATCTTCGTTCCCCTTTTTCGCTGCTTCAACGACGTCAGCCACCACGCCAATCGCGTCAGAGATCCTCCTCCCAGGTATAAATCCGTACTGCTCCTCCGATATCACTAAGTGGAGCCACTGCTTCATCCTGTTCGCCACAACTCTCGCCAAAACCTTGTAGGTGAAGTTGAGTAAGGTGATGGGGCGATAGTTGTCCAGCTTGTCTTTGTCTCATTTTTTATAAAGCAAGATGGTAACCGCTTCCTTGACGCTTGCAGGGAGCGAGGCCGATTCTGAGAAACTTTTCGCCATCTTCAGGAACTCTCCCCCCAAGACATCCCAGTTCTGCTCGAAGAGCTCTTTCGGAAGACCGTCTCTCCCGGGCGATTTGTTGTTTGCCAAGGCTTTGAAAGCTTGTTTCACCTCCTGCTCCGACCAGTCCGCCTCCAGTGCCGCCGCTGCGTCAGAGCCCAGCTTCTTCCCCGGCAATAGTTTCCAAATGGCCGTCGTCGAGCGACTGTCCGATCCAAAAAGGTCTGTGAAATAGTTGGTGGCCGCCGCCAGAATTTCTTTGGAATCTGTCACCGTCACACCGCCTACTGACAGCTCTGCAATCTGTGTGCGCTGCTTTCTGACCTTTACCCTCGCTGACAGGAAAGGGGACGGCACCTCTCCCGCCAGTTCAATGTTCGTACCCGCCATCAGATGAAGTCTGTCCCGCTTCGCCGCATGGTATTCCCGCAGCTGCGTCTCCCTGACCAATAGTAGATCCCTAGCGCGCTGGCAGCTTGGGTTCCGCATTTGCTCTTGCCGAAGCTCCGCCACCACGTCTGCCAGATGCGCCGTGGTCTTTTTGACCCTTTTCCTCTCCTCCTTCATATACGACCGCAGGCCCGCGTTAAGTCTGCCCAGCAATAGCTCAAAATCCTCCTCGCCACTTGCCTCTGCCTTGGCAAGCGCAGCTTCCACCGCTTTCCTGACCCCTGGCCTGCCGATGGCTGCAGCATGCAGTCTCCAGATTCCGGGGCCCAGGTGAGAAGTGGCCTTTACCTTGAAAGCAACTTTAATAGCGAAACCGTGATCTGAGATGTACTCCTCTGGCATGGTATGTGCGGCTATCTCCAGGTGCGGAAGTAAGGAGCAAGAGACGAGCGCGCGATCTATCCTGGAGCTAGACTCTTTGGAGGCGAAGTAGAAGGTAAATTCCTTCAGCTTTGGATGCAGTGTGCGGAAAGCGTCCGAGAATTGAAAGCGGCTACATCGCGAGATAAGTCTGTCGTTTTCTAGTGACGATCCCGACTGTGATGTCCTGTCTAAAAACGGGTCTTCCACTGTGTTCAGGTCCCCGATCAGGACAACGTGCGCTGTGGGTGGAACAAGATCTATGGCAGGGCCGATGACATTGGCTAAAAAGGAGCTACGATCAGTTGCGTCAGCAGGGAAGTATGTGGCTAAAAGAGTTAAAGTGAGACCGGGCCGACTGACTTTAGCGGTTATCAGTCTGCCAGAAGGGTGAGTGGAGATCTTATGTATGGTGATAGATGGGTTCCTGGTGAGCACCGCCACACCTCCCGCTTTAGCAGTTGGGGGGGTGGTTAGGACTGTGGAGAAAGAGGTTGTCTTCCAGTAAGGATGGTCGTCAGGCAGTCTGGTGTCCGAGAGAATCAGTACGTCTGCTGCTGTTCTTGTCCATGAGGTTACTCTAGATTGCTTTGTCAGATCGCCAAGGCCGTTGACATTCAGGCCTGCTAAGGAGAAGAAGTTTTTGTTACTCATTTATTCACCATCTGGCAGCCCCGCTTCATCCACAGGCTGGTAACGAGAACTACTCCAACAACGGACACCCAAACGGCTATTGCAATGAAAACACCCTGCTCGGCTCGACTCAGACCCCATACTCCTTCTTCAGATTGCTGAGGATCATCTTGTCGAGTGTGAACTTGGTCACAGTACCCAGCTTCTCCAGGTTCAGCAGATGAGATGCAGATGCAATGTGGTCTGAGGCAGCCATGAAAGTTTTCCCTTTTGCTTTCCCGCAGCAGACTTGCGTGCAGATCCACTCTTCGCGGTTCCCACCGGTGGAGATAAGAGCAACAGCAGGATCTTTCAGAATGGGGGTGATCAGTGCGGAAGTACGCAAGGAAGCAGCTGCGACAGCAAGCAGATTCGTCAGTAAGCGTAAGAAAAGTAAAAGGTGAGTCGTGAGCTGTAAACTGATCCGTGCAGTTACCGTTGATGCGATGGATATTTCCCAAGGTCAGTGACCACTTCCCTATATTGTTCTGTCTCTCGGTGACGAACAGATCATGATAAATCTCATAATGCTGTCCGCCGCAGAGAGAACAGGACAACTCAGGATAGTGAACCAGCAGCTTCGCGCCGACCTCCAGTGGGTTGTCAACAATATGGCGCCAGCGGTACCGGTCCCCAGGGTGCTGAATGACCAGTCCCTTCACCACATCAGTGTCTGCGCCGGTCAGCGGGTGAGCCACTCGATGGAAGCAGAAACCGTCCTTGAAAGCCGACTGCTTCCTCATTTTAAGCTTGAAACGGACAAGAAGATCTTTAAGCACGTCAGGTACAATGTTAGCAGGGACCCGCTTAAAGAGAACTTCAATCGCGAGCGGGTTAGACGACTTCTCCCTGAGGTAAGAGGAGTCCTCAGTATGCTGCCAGAGACACTTCACCGACGGGCCGTTCGTCTTCTGATATTCGAAGGTATGAAACTTGATGTGATGTGCGTCACGCTCGTCGAGGAAAGAAATCTGAAGACGGCAGAAGCGAGTCTTGGCCACATAACCAGGTGACATCTCCTGGATATTAGCAGTGACTCCCGCATTCTCTGTAAGTGAACTGCTCCAGACCTTCTTCATTAGAACACGGAGTGCAGCAATGATAGCTTTAACATCCTGAGACAGCGCCATTGGGATCAGAAGGATTGCAATAAAGCGAAGACGGAAAGCAGCCTCTTTTGCAATGTCAATGTCGAGTTCCTCATCCGAATCATCCTCCAGGAAACCCTCATCTGATCCTCCTGCGACTTGCTGCATGCTCGCCTTTTCTTCCACAGTTAAACCAGAGCAGCCAGCGATAGCAGCATCGACAGCAGCAGCAGACGGGAGGGAGATGTTAACCGCATCATTGTTGTCCGTGCTTCCAGAACCATTCTTCCCCGCAGGTCCCGAAACAGCGATCTTGTCAGTCCGCGGGACATTTACTCCATCAGGAGAGACAGGAGAGTCAGGCGACGGCACGTCAGGAGAGTCAGGAGCAGGCGGCGTGACCTCAACAGGAGCCTTCGCTGGACGACCCTTAGGAGGCATGGTGCAGTGATGAAACCAAAAAAGCAGCAGTCGTGATGGAAAAAGCTTCAGGATGGGAATAATGAACACAGAAACTTGAGCTGCCAAGAAACTGAGCACCACCTCCTTAAATAATATCCCGAAAGCTCGGGCTCTGATCTCCTGAGCGATGTGCTGAGTTCCCGCTGTTGAGACCTTGGGATCATGAGCAGCCTGATCCAAGTTGTAACTCTTATGTTGTAAATTGCAGCCTTGGTAGTTGTGTGCGGAAAAAACCTTGACGTCATTGTTGAATTCAATGTCTTGAAGCCTAGGTAATAGTTGATCTTGATAAAACGTTGAAACAGTGAGCCTGACCCGAGTAGCTGAAGATAAAATGTCCGCGGGATGGACACGATAAAAATATCTTCTGCTTCGCAATGCACTCAGGAATGTAGAACTGTGCTCATTGTTACCAACTGATAGGTAACCTTCACGTAACAGGCTTCCGAAGTTACACGGAGGAATCCATGGCGGCATCGTACGGTCGTGGAGGCTGCCCCAAGGGCGAGACATCGATTCGAGATTAATTATGCTTTCTATTGTTGGTCGACCAGTGTTCGAACATGATTAACTACGCTTACAGTGTTCAATGAAAGGAGCAGCTCGATAAGGCGGAAATCGAGGAAATTCTCAGAGTGTCAACTACGGACAGAAAACATGTTGGTTACTTTGGCGATTCTCCAACAAACTGAAGGCGGTTCCCGCGAAGTCACTGTAGCATGTAGGCACGGGAATGGGTGAACTCATTTTGGGAAAGAAAGCCCCAATTTTCCTGTGTATGTTGCTTAGGAAATTCATCGGTTCACATACCTGGCCGACTGGTTGCCCGACGAAGTTTCATCTGTGACCATTCGCGTTTTTTTTTACCAGTTGATAGTGACTGATTTCGTGAAACGTTTTATCAGTCGCGTGAAAACACCCTTTGCAGTGACCGTACCCTTTATTTGTTTACCAAAACTGTTATCGAGTCCCACGAATGGCATATTTTCCCCGAGACTTGTCCCTCGCGTTCCCTGCGTTTGGTTTGGGCACTTCGGGATTGCCTTCCGCTCCTCTGCTATGCGGCATCGAATGTGGTGACTGGAGTGGAAATCCCTAGGTTGGAAGGAAATAACGGATGTGAAGTTTGGAACCACATGATGCCTTTGTGAGGCTCTCATGGCGAATAAGTACTCCGTGCCCTTATCGGTGGCGGCATGGTAGGAACCAAACGGTTTCTTTCGACTAAGTTTAAAACTCGTTTGTACATTCACGGCAGGATTGTAGCCCGACACACACGTTCCAGCTGGCTGCTGCATGCGTTTCTAGGAACTATGTAGTCGGACGTTTCAATCAAGGCAGGTTCGCTAGTGGTAGCTCATGACCCCGGAGCCTCGTCTATACCCATTCTGCCCTGTCACCTGCATTACTGGGTATGCGAGGAGCACACCGAGTATTTACAACTCTCTTCGGTTGTTTCGTAACCTACCCCTCACTGTTAGGGTTTCCTTCAACCCTCACTTCGGCTGACGTCCAATAGCTAATCTCTTCCGCATTCCAAACTAACGACGATGTCGAAGCGGATGGACCCGCGCAGGCAGAGCGTCGGCAGCGGCACCGATCTCCGCCGCTCCAGATCCATCGGAGTATCCTCCCAATCGATGGACTTCAAAAACTTCAATTCCGCCGCTCCCACCGCTCCCGCCGCGCGCCAGCAACACGCCCCCCCGCACGGCCGGTTGAACCGGTCCGTCAGTCAGAGAGTTGCCGGTGACGTGACCTTAACGGCGGAAGAGTTGGCAGAAATGGAGCAGGAAATGGTTAAGTCTAAGACTAAGGTCATGGCGTGGTTTACGAAATCGGAGTCGGAAGGTGCGCCAATTAACGCTCCCCCGCCCGCCGCCTCCCCTTTCGAGGAAGTTGGCGGACTGGAAATTCCGCCTATGGGGAAAAAGGGGCTTCCGCCGAGGCGGGGGGACGCACACGGTCCGCCTCCGCACGGGAAGCCGCCGGCGCCGCAGGATTTGCGGAAATGCGCGACGCGGGTGTTTTCGTCGCAGCACGTGCCGGAGTGGGTCGGCAAGGGGGACAGCGGCGCGTTCAAGCGGTCGCAATCGTGCCGCGAAATGGGCCAATCAGGAAGCGTTCTTAGATCGCGTTCGGTGGAGGGCCCTGGAGTGATGTACAGACCGTCAGGGGCAGGTGGAGCAGGAGGAGCAGGAGGAGCAGGAGGAACAGGTTCTCCTTACGACGGCGTAGGAAAGAGGCCAGGCATGCCAGGCGGACCGGGTGGGAATAAAGACCTAGCGAAGGTTCTATCGCGGACGGAGCAAGCAGCAGAGAAAGTAAAGATGCTGCTTAACCGACCGCCGGACCGCCGCCTTACGCGGTCACTAAGCGCGATGAAAAAGAACGACCGGGTTAACCTGGGCGTTGGGGGGATGGGGCCGGTCGGGGGCGTGGGGGGGAATTACAGCCCCGGACACGCGGGCACGTATGGGTATGCGGGGGAGGGCAGCAGCGGAGGCGGGGGAGGAGGCGGGCGGGGGAGCATGGGCGGAATGGCTGCTGGCCCGCGCGGGGACCTGCACTTGCGCCGGGCGTTTTCGGAAGATAGGCGCGCGCTGAATTCCGCGCCTATGCCCGCTAGGGGCAGCTTTGCGCCGCCTGGCGGAGGTGTGGGCGCGCGGAGGGGGGAGGATCCGCGACAGCGAATCCTTCCCCCGCGCGGACTGGGGCTTTCGGGGGACAACAGCCCTAGCCGCTCCCCCGCGCGCCCGCTTGGGGGAGGCGCCACGTCAGCGCCGCGTCAGCATTACAGAGACGAAGACGGGCGGGGGAGTCAGGGGTATGATGACTATAGTCGGAGCCCCTCCCCCGATAGGAGGGGGAGGGGAGGGGGGAGAGGAGGCGGAAGGGCTGGAAGTAGCGGGCTGAGAAGGAATGGGTATGATGAGGTTGAGAGGGGTAGAGGAGGGTGTGATGATGATTCGAGGTCAGGGTCTTCTTATGAGGACTACGATGGGGGCAGGAGGAGGAGAGATGATGAGTATGATGGGGACAGGAGGAGGAGGGGTGATGATGATGATGCAGGCAGGAGGAGGAGAGATGATGAGTATGATGCTGGTGGGAGGGGGAGGGATGGTGGTGATGATGGGGGCAGGAGGAGGAGAGGTGATGAGTATGACGATAGGAGGAGGGATGATGATTATGATGGTAGGAGGAGGAGGGGGGATGATGACGATGGGTACGACCCGAGGGGGGCTGGGCGGGATAGGGAGAGAGATGGGGGAAGAGTTGGGGAGAGGGACAGGGAGAGGGAAGGGGAGAAGGAGTGGGACAGGGAGAGGGAAGGGGAGAAGGAGTGGGACAGGGAGGGGGGCAGATACGAAGAGGCGGATGGGGAGGAAGAACAGCGGTCGCGAGATGATTGGGAGAGAGGGAACGGGGGAAGAGGGGATGGAGGTAGGGGAAATGGAGGAAGGGGGGTTGTGAGAAGAGGGGATGGGGGAAGAGGGGATGGAGGGAGAGAGGATGGGGGAAGGGGTTTGGGGGGGAGAGGGGACGGGGTTAGGGGTTCGGGGGGAGGGAGTGGAAGGGAGAGGAGGGAGGAAGGGCGAGGAGGGGAAAGGGAGGAGGGCAGAGGAGAGGGGAGGGCTGGTGGGGGTGGGGAAGGGTACATTAGTGAGGGTAGTGGAGAGAGGGAAAGTGACTATGTTGAGAGAGACAATGTGGAGGGTGATTATAACGAGCGGGAAACGGGTCGAGATATGCACGGGCGAGAATATGATGATGGGTATGGGGAGGAGGAGCAGAAGGTTATAGTGGATGGAGTGAGGGAAATGGGAAGAGGTGGAGAGGAGATGGGTATGGAGGGAGTGAGGGAGGAGGAGCAGGAGGACGAAGCAGAAGAGGAGGATGAGGGGGAGGGCGCATACGAGGTTGACCCAGTGGGGAGGGGAGGTGGTTACGGACGTGGCGATGATTCTGGTTACCACAATGACGTCACTGCTGAGCTGGCACAAGATCCTCGTGCGCATCCTGATGACGTGGCAGCCGGCCACCAGGGGCATTATAACGAAGAGGGGTATGGTGATGGTGGTGCTTATGGTGGTGGTGATTATCCTGGGGAGCATGGGGGTGTTGATGGGGCATATGATGGGGATGTGCATGAAGGCTACGACAGCGATCAGTTGCATGGAAATATTGATGATGTTTATGGTAAGGATGGGCATGGGGATGCCAATCATGCAGTTCACACATTTCACAGTAGACAGAGTAACGAGGATGGTTATATAGGTGCTAAGGATGGTTACCACCAAGATGGTAACCACCAGGACGGTTACCCGCAGGACGGTTACCAAGAAGACGGTTACCAGCAGGACGGTTACCACCAAGATGCTTATGCTGCTGCTGAGGATAATTATGATGATGATGGAGGTGGTTACCACCACAGTAACCACAACAACACGTCATCAAGACACGCTTCCGCAGCCCATCCTTATCAACACTCCTCCTCTCCCCACCATCGGTCTGCTAGCTATTCCCCTCAACAACCACCCACAGGTTATCCCCATCAGAGCTCTCCCGGTGTGTCCTCCCCACAGCAGTCGTCTCACCACTCCTTCCACCAGTCACAGTCAACACCCTCGCCCTCCCAACAGAGACAGCAGCAGCTGGGGATGGCTCGGTCACCTTCGAATCAAGGCCAGAATCTGAGATCCCCCTCACAGCACCCGCAGCGTGTGTCCTCCTCCCCCAAACATCCCTCCCAGCTCTCCCCATCAAGCAACTACCATCAGCATCAGCAGCAGCAGCACCACCAGCACCATCAGGAGCAGCAGCAGCACCATCAGCAGCAGAAAATGCTGCCACAGCAGCAACAGGGCAAAATCTATTCCCCACACACGCAGCACCACAATCAGCACCATCAGCAACAGCATCAGCAGCACAATCACCAGCAGCATCAGCATCAGCAGCATGGCAAGCAGCATACCCATCCTTCTGCCCCAGGCCACACAAGAACCGCCTCCTACAGCAGTGGGAGTCCTGCTGCGGCTGGTTCTCCTGGGTTAGGAGGAGTTGTGAGCGGTGCAGGTGGTAATTGTGCTGGTTCTGGAGGAGGAGGGGCTATGCCAGGCCGATCCTCTTCGTCTGCCACTGAGCGCTCTCTGATTGGCCATACCCGATCCAGCTCCCAGAGCCTACCAATGACAAGAGGACACGTGTCACCAGGGGGAGGGAGGGGTGGGGATGCGGCAGGGGCGGCAGCGGTGCTGGCGCCGCCGCCCGGGGCGTCGCCAGCTGGGCGGTCCAGATGGCGCAATATCCTTGGCCGACCGCTGGAGAGCTTTGCCGCCCGATTTGAGCTGACAGGGGAGGTGCTGGGGAAGGGGTATTTCGGCGATGTGGTGGTGTGTGTGGAGCGAGAAAGCGGGGAGCATTTCGCATGTAAAGTCATCAACAAGGCGAATGTGAAGGTATGTAGTGGACGGTGGGGTGCGGTTGGGTGTGGTGCGGTGCTATGGTTTTGGGGGATGTGGTGGTGTGCGTGGCACGAGACAGCGGGGAGCAATTCGCATGTAAAGTGATCAACAAGTGGAATGCGAAGGTGAGAGGAGGAGGCAACTATGGAAAGATAACTGTAACTTGTAAGTAAGAGTGTGACCTTCCAATCCGTCTCCTTGTGCGCACACCACGTATCCCATACCCATCCATCCATCCTCTACCCTCCCTCCCTCTCCCTCTCCCTCTCCCCATCGCCTCACACCAGACCCCAGAGGATGCAGAGGACGTGCAGAACGAGGTGGCGGCTCTGGAGGCATTGGGGGGGGCACCCTCCCTAGCTGGCTTGCTGTATGAGAGGAATCCAACGCCCTATGCCTCCCCTCTCTTCCCAACACCCCACCCGCCAGACCCCAGAGGATGCAGAGGACGTGCAGAACGAGGTGGCGGCTCTGGAGGCGCTGAGGGGCCACCGGCACATTGTGCAGCTGATAGAAACTGTGGAGGAGCCAGAGGTAAACGAGTCTGCTTGTAACGAGTATGACAAGGGTGTGTGCTTGTAACGAGTGTGTGACTGTGTGCTGGGAGGAAAACTGGGCTCTGGAGGTGTTGAGGGGCGACCGGCACGTCGTGCATCTGATAGAAACGGTGGAGGGGCCAAAGGTGGGTGGATTTGCTTGTGACAAGTATGATTCTGCTGTATGCTTATAACGAGTACATGACTGTGTGCTGGGTGAGAGAGGCGCCGAGGGGACACCGGCACATCTTGCAGCTGATAGAGACGATGGAGGAGCCAGAGGTTAGTGAGTCTGATTGTAACGAGTATAATACTGGTGCTGGGAGGGTGGGTTCTAGAGGGACCACCGGCACATCGTGCAGCTTATAGAGATAGTGGAGGCGCCAGAGGTGGGTGGGTGGGTCTGTTTATAACGAGATGCCGTATGTGGGTCTCTGGAAATGAACCATCCTCTCTCCTCCCCATTATAATCTATTCCCCACTGCTCCTCATTCGTCCCCACTCCTACACAATCCTTCCCACTCCTCACCTCCTCTTCCCGTCCGCATCACCAACCCAGACGGTGCATCTGGTGATGGAGCTGTGCCAAGGAGGCACCCTCCAGCAAGAAATCAGAGAGCAAGGGCCGTTCGATGAACCCCAAGCAGCAGCGGGACTATTGAGATGCCTCCTCCTCTCCCTTCTCCTCCCCATTGCTACACTGCCACTCATGCTTCTTCTCCCTCCCCTCCCCTCCCTTTCCCTTCCCTGCCCCTTCCCACATCACCAACCCAGACGTTGCATCTGGTGATGGAGCTGTGCCAAGGAGGCACCCTCCAGCAGGCAGTGAGGGAGCAAGGGCCTTTCAATGAACCGCAGGCAGCAGCGGTGGTGGCGGCAGCGGCAGAGGTGCTGCTGCAGTGCCACTCCAACGGCATCATTCACCGCGACGTCAAGCCCGATAATATCATCCTCTCTTAAGGGAGCAAAGTCGTTTCTTCAGTGCCACTCATGCTTCTTCTCCCTCTTCTCCCCTCTCTCCCCTCCCCTCCCCCCACCAATTCAGACGGTGTATCTGGTGATGGAGCTGTGTCAGGGGGGCACCTTGCAGCAAGCTATCAGAGAGCAAGGGCCGTTCAACGAGCCGCAAGCAGCGACGGTGGTGGCGGCAGCAGCAGAGGCGCTGCTGCAGTGCCACTCATGCTTCTCCTCTCCATCCCCCCCTCTCCCCATCCTCCCCTCCCCACCAGACGGTCTATCTGGTGATGGAGCTGTGCCAAGGAGGGACGCTGCAGCAGGCAGTGAGGGAGCAAGGCCCGTTCAATGAACCCCAGGCTGCGGCGGTGGTGGCTGCAGCAGCAGAGGCGCTGCTGCAGTGCCACTCCAACGGCATCATTCACCGCGACGTCAAGCCCGATAACGTCCTGCTCGGGGAGCGTTTGGACGTTTCTGGGGGAGGCGTACCTGGGGATGTGAAGATCTGCGACTTTGGCATCTCAACCTTCTTCCAACCAGGTGGGTCGGTTGGTGCGCCAGAAGAGGTTGTAACCAGGGGAGGTAGGATCTCAGAAGAGTCAATCCTGCTTGGTTGGTGCCATGAAAACCTTTTCCACAAAATATGTGTATTTGGGTGTACTCGGGGGAGGTAGATCCGAGGTAAACCTTTCCTACCACACCCCAACGCACCACACTCCTGCTCTCGGCCTTCTGTCCCTCCCCAACCCTCGTTCTCTAGCCTCCCAACCACAGGTTCAGAACCTGTGGCTGCTTCTCAATCCTCACTCCTTCACTCTCGCCCCTCGCAACCCTAACCCAACACAGGAACAACAACGTGCAGTGAGATAGTGGGAACGGCCTCCTTCCTCTCCCCCGAAATGTTCGCCCAGACCTACTCCTGCCGCACCGACCTCTGGAGCCTGGGCGTGCTGCTGCACCTGCTGCTCTCGGGATTCCTCCCCTTCCGCGCGCCCACCAAAGAGGCCGTCTTCGAGGCGATTCTGGACGGCAGACTGGATTTCCGGGCGGCGCCGTGGCCGATTGTGTCGCTAGCTGCCAAAGATTTGGTGTCTCGGATGCTGACCGTTGATCCTGATGAGCGGATCACAGCAGAGGAGATTCTCAGTGAGTGGGGTGGGGTGGGGGGGGGGGATGTTGTAGTGGGGGTGTGGGGGAAGACAGGAGGAGGGAGGGATGTTGCTAGCTGCCAAGGGCTTGTGTCTAGGATGCTGACAGTTGACCCCGATGAGCGGATCACAGCAGAGGAGATTGTCAGTGAGTGGGTGGGAGATGGGGGGTTGTGGTGGGGAATTGGGGAAAGACAGAAGGAGGGAGTGGGGGCGGTTGCTGCCAGCCAAGGACTTGGTGTCATGGATGCTGACTGTTGACCCCGATGAGCGGATCACAGCAGAGGAGATTCTCATCTCAGTGAGTGTGGGGCGGAGGAGGGTTTGAGGGGAGAAAGGGGGGAAAGAAGGTTGGGGACATGGTTCCCAGCGATTTAAGGAAGGGGGGTTGGGGGGGTTGGGTGCGTGGAGGAATGGGTTGGCATGAAGGCATGGCGTGGCATGAAGGCATGACGTGGCATGAAGGCATGGCGTGGCATGACGTGGCATGAAGGCATGGCGTGGCATGAAGGCATGGCGTGGCATGAAGGCATGGCGTGGCATGAAGGCATGGCGTGGCATGAAGGCATGGCGTGGCATGAAGGCATGGCGTGGCATGAAGGCATGGCGTGGCATGAAGGCATGGCGTGGCATGAAGGCATGGCGTGGCATGAAGGCATGACATGGCATGAAGGCATGGCGTGGCATGAAGGCATGACGTGGCATGAAGGCATGGCGTGGCATGAAGGCATGGCGTGGCATGAAGGCATGGCGTGGCATGAAGGCATGACGTGGCATGAAGGCATTGCGTGGCATGAAGGCATTGACTGCTCCATATCTCCCCATTAGAAACGTTGACCTTTTGCTGCCCGCCCCCCCTCTCTGTCTGACCCCCCTTCCCCCCCTCCTCCTCCCCCCTCCTCCTCCCCCCTCCTCCCTTACCCCCCACTCTGCCCCCCTCCTCTGTAGGTCACCCTTGGATACTTGACCCTTGAAGACAAACAAGTGTGGAATGGCGTGGAAATGTAAACATAAGAATCAGTCATGGAAAGGCCTGGCATGGGATAAACATGGCTGTCTGATCGGCAAAAATAACGTCGCTGAGCTAACACTAGTACAGTGTATTATGTGTAACATGTTACAGAATCATTGTTGGGTTGGGTGGCTGTAACTCTGCAGCCAGTGTTGGGTAAGAGCCCAGGATTCAATATTATACGATGAATAAATCATCATGTACACTACACTGCCATGTATGAATCAGTCAGGAGTTTGCTGTGCTGTCTCAAAATTAGTTGGACTAAATATAAGAGTTCATGTACAAGTTACTACAGGCTAAGCAGATTTAACTGTACATAAGATACATATACGAATAAATGAACACTACAATATAACGTGGACTTCAGCTACCTTGTTGAACCTGACAAGCCGGCCAAGCGATCTGGTGCGTCCAATCGACCCCTCTTGACGGACGGTGAGGATCGACTTGGGCAGACGGCAGGGAGAAATGCCCCTTGCAGGGGAAACCCCAGCAGAAGCAGCACAAGGGGAGGTGGTAGCAGGGGAGGCAGTACCTGTGGAGGTGGTACCTATTGATGTGGTAACTGGCATTTTGGCACCAGGCGAGGTGGTACCAGGTGGGGGAAACAGGAGAGGCAGGGAGATATAAGGCTCTACTGTAGAAGCTGTTGTGTTGGTAGCAAGGCTGCTTGTACGGAGGATGGAAGCAAGGGATGCTCGGGCGATGCAGAGAGGGTGTACAGCCAGGGAGGGGAGGGCACGGCGGGAGCGAATAGTCTCGTGGGGAGGAGAGTGGGAATGAGACTGGTGGGGGGGAGAGTGGGAATGGGACTGGTGGGGGGGAGAAAGTCGCGATGTGGCCTTCGAGCGGGAGAGGAGAGGAGAGGAGTGCATAGGTTGCTGGGGAGGGGAGTGGGGCGACGAGGTTGTCGAGTTACTGTTGAGTGGAGCAGACACATTCTCGCTCCGACGCTTCTGCTGCTGCTGCTGGTGCTGATGGTGCTGATGCTGTAAGTGATTCCGATGCTGCTGTTGCTGCTGTGAGTGATGCTCATGCTGTTGACGCTGGGGTGAGTGACGGTTGTAGCAGTGCTGCTGAGAGTACTGGGCAGCATCAGGTGCAGCTGCTACAGCCGCCGCTGGTGCTACAGCCGTCCTTGCTACAATTGCACCTTCATAGGGAGAGAGTGGGGTGTAGGCAGAGGGCCAAACAGACAAGCTGTTTGGTCTAGTCCTCCTTTGAAACAACTTAAGGGGTAAATTACCCTGCTCTTGCCCGTGCTGCACCTCCCCCACATCCACCTCCCCCTGGTGAGACCCGCTGCTATTCCGAGCCTGCTGATCCACAAGTCCGGTGCGTGCCGAGCCTGCGGCGATGTCGCCCAGGTCTACCGAGGTGGTTCGGAGGCCGAGCCTGGATTTTTGCCTCAGAGCGCCGTGTTGCATGTAACGGTTGTAATGGTTGCTGGTTACCACCGCATCGAGATTGTCAGAGGGCAACTTGTGGAGGGAGGTTCGGCGGGGACTCGGGCAGCGGGAGAGCATCGGTGGAGGCTTGGTAGAAGATGGAGATTGAGATGGTGATGAGGAATTGGAGATTTTAGATGTTTCAGTATGCGGTACTGTAGACGTTACAGAAGCGTTATTGTAGAGCCGTGCTGGTGTAGACTTTATGCGAGACGAAGCCACCGTTGGGAGGCTGCCACGTCGCATGTGCTGGTGAGAAGACACTGCAGGTTGGTGCGAACCAGGCTGCTGCTCTTCAAGCGAATCTGCCTTCAACGAGTACAAACCGAAAGAGCTCTGCCGATCGGGTTCTGAAATCAAGTTATCGCTAATCGCCGAATTTTGCCGAACACCACCATCCACGCTCCCACTCCTCGGAAACCCTAGCGGTCTAGCTTTCCGCGTCGCGTGGAGGCTCCTCGTTGGTTGCGCGTCGGCTCTGCATATTTCACTGAAGTCGCTCGCGGTACGCGCTGGGACGGGACGTACTCCAACCTCGGAAAGGCGCTGTGGTGGCAAATTCGCGACCGGTTCGGCGAAAGGCTGCGACGAATGGCGGTGTAGTGGTGCTCGTAACGGGGACCTCGCGCGATTAGACTGTAACGGGGATGGCGACGGAGACGGAGAGCGGGACCTCGACTGGGAATTGCGATGGCGGTGCAGGTGTGACTGTAACGGAGGGAGACTAGAGCGTGACTGAAGCGAGGGAGCGTGCCTAACCGACGGCGACTGACTCGGAGAGCGGGAGCTGGTCGCTTGGTGTGGCGACTCGAGCGACTCGAGCGACGGACGTCGTGCGACGGGAGGAGGGAACATCGCGGGGACTCCGCGACAGTTCGATGCGCTGAGCCGGGAATCGCGGCAATCATCGTACGCGCCCAACTCGGGAGGCGCTGACGTGGAATGGAGCCCGAAAATCGCGGCTCGCTCCTCCCGGTTCGTCCGGAAACGACTTTCCGCGTGGCCCATGCACGTCGTTGTCGTCATCACCGTCGCGGTTCCCCCGACCCCTTCGAGCTCCCCCAGGGCGTTGCGGCCGCTGCGCGCTGCTTCCGCGCCGCCGGGCGTCCTCCCCCGCGCGATCGCCGCCATCGCCGCCATTTCCGTCACTTCCGGCGGCGTGGAGTTGCTCCTCGCTGGTTGTAACGGCCGTCGAACGGTGCGCGTCGCGCGCAGCTGCGGCACCTCCTCGGCGTCGGTCCCCGCATATGCCTCCGCCTCCTCTTCCGCCTGCGCCTGCGCCTGCTCCGGCACCTCAACCTGCGCCACAGCCCCCGCATTTGTTTCCGCCGCCGTCGCCACCTGCGCGTGCGCCTGCGCCTCCGCGGACGCCGCTTGGTTGGCGGTTCTCTGCTTCGCGGCTTCCAGCTCGCGGAGCTTTCTGATGCCGATGGCGGGTCGCCGCCGCGCGCCCGCTGCTTGCACGATCATCCCGTGCTCACACGCCGCCGCGGGCGCCGCCGGGGTTGGGTTGGGGGCGGCGACGCAACCGTCCCGTCGCCGCGCGACAGTGTCGCCGAAGTGTGTCGTTACCGTCGCACAATCGCCGGCGGAGGGGCCGCGCACGGCGCAAGCGCCGCGTGGGGGGGCGCAAGAGATGCGTGAGTCGAAGGAAGCGCAGGAGGCGCGGCGGTTTCCGGAAGGATTCTGCGGAAGCGAAGCCGCGTTGAAGCTTCCGCCGCTCCAGGACGCCGCGGAGGGATAGCGGGGCCGCGTGGGATCCGCGAACCCGTCAGCGTGGCACTCAGCGAAGTCGTGGCTGGCGAAACTGGCGTAACTTGGTAACAGAGAGTGCGGAGATGTGTTTTGGAATGCCTCGATGGCTGAATCCTCGGCTTCGAACGAACAATCGTCAAGGGCTGACAGAGATCCGTCAAAAGTTGACAGAGACCAGTCGAACGTTGACGGAGACTGGAAGCAGCTGGTGTCCAGAGGCGGCGCGATGAAACGAGGTTGAGCCGCCGAGCTACGCTGCGCATCTACGGGATTTGCGGCGGGATGCGCGGGAGGGTAGCAATCGCCGTCAGGAATTGCCGTGGAACGCTGATTGTAAATTGCCGAGGAGGAAGGGACTCTGTACCTCTCCGAAGCCTCGAAGAAACTCTCAGGTGCGCGGATAACTCTCGCGGCCATGGAGTCGCGTCAGACGAGTCGTGCTGTTAATGTTCCAGCCTCGATTACTACGAACATAACACTGCCGTAACTGCGACGGTGGTAGAGCGTTTTATCGACTGAAGTGAAACAGACTGGAGAGTCTGAAGGACCGAAAGTGAGTGATGTGTCGGGTTCTGATGAAATCGACCATTGGCGAATGCATGAACATCTCCTATAGCTTGCCTTGGTTCCTGTCCTGTGCTGTCGGTGGCGCGCTGGGGCTGTTCTGAGTCCTGTGACCTCTAATGAGAATCATCATCATCTCATGAGCCTACTAGGAATGGGGTGGAGGCGAGAAACGGCATTCGGTGGGGGTGGGGTGTGTGTGTGTGACGTCGGCGGGTGTACACGTAATACACATGAGGTACAACTTGCTTCATCATCGGTGCAGTACTGTACAACATAGTGACTTGAGCGCCAAGATTTCAAGCCACAAGCCCTCTTCGCGGCTTTCCTCCTCTTCTCTCTCTTCATTTTCCACGACAAGTAAGTCAATGTGCAAGAATCTATTGAAGAAGTATCGACGCACCACACCGCAATCGCTCGATCGAGAGTCACGCTGGCATTCCCCAGCCACCACAGGCCGCCCCAGGTTTGGTTACCACGGCTTGGAGCATCATGGCGACAAGGTGTCTGACTGTCTGGCCTCTTGCTTACTGACTTGGCAAGCAATTGGAGAAGGGGAGGGAATGGGTGGGAGGGAGAGGACATGCAGAGAAGGAAAGGGAAGGAACTATGGGAGGGAGTGAAAAGCTTGTGATTCGGTATCGCTTGGGATTTTCCTTGGCATACGGGAGGGTGGGTGAACTGTACTGTGCTGCATGGGAAACTTGGGCTCCGCCCCAGTGAGGACGCACTCACATGAACTTCAGACCCCACCTTGTGACGCACAAGTTGCCCAGGAAAATAAACGTCGCTGGATCCTCACGAGCGTCGTTACGGGGAGGTTGAGATTCGTGGATTTCGATTACCACGTCGAGAATTAGACAGTGCCGAAACCAAACTCATGTTTCTGAAGGCGTGTACTGCCCCGATGAACGGGCTGAGAATGCGGATTCAAGTCGAAACAGGAAGGGAAATGTGGCGCATTTGCTGTAAATTCGGCGCCGTGCCCAAAATTCTCGTAAGCCAATCAGAGGTGCTATCTATCGCTAACGATCTTTCGCGGATGCAGCCGCCTCTTACGACAGATTCACTGTTACACGACCACCACTACAGAACAGTGCAAGAAGCTGGCGAATGAAAGCTGGCGAGTGAAAGCTGGCGACTGGAGGCTGGCATATTCAAGCTGGTGGGACAGCGCAAGGTTACCTCGAGCCATCACTTGCAGGCGTCAGTTATCCTAGCGAAGAGTCGCGCTGGCGACTGATAGAGTTCGTTGTCCAATAGCATTTGCGCTAAATCTGAAGTCCCATTGGCTCGCTTCCGGCATCCGCAACATGGATCTTTTGTCAAACCATAGCACGCGGGGTTCGGGAGGAGGAATGGAGCCAGCCTCCACGATGGCGAACCCGAAGCAAAATCTTTGTTGGCGACAAGCGGAATCCTTGTAACCTGCATCGCCTCGCCTCGTAATAAATCTCCTTCGGAAACGCTGGAAGATTCCCCATGAAACGACGTGAGGTCGCTTCCAATCAATGTGACGGATCAAAGGTTTCTGGTTGTCGGTGAATCTCGGTTTGCTGTATACTGGCCTCGGTTATGTGAGATCAAGCTATTTCAAGCTTGGTATGCTTCTGTAAGAAGTTAGAATTCTCCTTCACAACCTGATCCAGAGCATTTACTCTCATAAACCCATAACTAGACTGACCAGAATAATAGACAATACAACTAAGCCAATGCGATAATGAAGCAAGAAAAAATATTTGCTTAGAGCATTATTTTTCCCGGACTACTCATGTTTCTTTTTTACGCCATGTTCATCACTTGAATTGAAAGGTTCATTTCATTATAACCCAGATCTCACTCACACTCTTAGTTTCTTCTTTCTCAACAATGTCGCACAATGCTTAGGAGAATAAAACGTACACCTCAAATTCGGTTCCACTTCGCATCTCTCCGCCTGTAAACCAGCATTACCCGCCCAGCCAATCAGCAGCTTCGCACAGGGCGGCATTCCCAAGGTTTCAGGTTCGCCCCCTGCCCTTCGCCGGATACTCTCAGGGGAGCAAGGAAGGGCTCTTAGGAGGAGCAGGCAGAGCGGAGGGAGGGAGAAGGAGGCGAGTGAGCTGAGTAGCTCGATTGGCTGTGTGGGTCCATGCACAGTGACCTGGGGAAGGGAGGGGGGCGGGGAGGGGGGTGTGGGTGTTGGGGGGGAAGGCATAGCAAGGGGGGGCTGTTAGGCAGAGCGGAGGGAGGGAGAAGGAGGCGAGTGAACTGAGCAGCTCGATGGGCTGTGTTGGCCCTTGCACTGTGACCGGGGGAAGGGGGGGGGGGGGGGAGGGGAGGAGGTTGGGGTGGGGGACAGGCATGGCACAGGGGGCATCTTAGGAGGAGGATGCAGAGTGGAGGCAGGGAGAAGGAGGTGAGTGAGCTGAGCAGCTCTATGGGCTGTGTGGGTCCATGCACTGTGACCTGTGGAGGGGATTGGGGGAGAGGGGAGGAGGAATGGGGAGAGCTATTTTGTGTGTGTGTACTTTGGGTTGGGTGACCCCACTGTTTTCACTTCACCACACTCACCTTCAATACAAGAACAATCTCCTGCTGGTCGGCAGCCAATTGCAGGTCAGCAAACGATGCTCTAGCCACCCGCACCCCTGCTTCTTCCCCCTGGATGCCCCTCCCACGCTTCCACTCCCACTGTTTTCCTTGCACTGAGTTCAGGCCCTCTCACCTTCAATACAGGAACAATCTCCTGCCGGTCAGCAGCCAATTGCAGGTCAGCAAACGATGCTATGGTCACCCGCATCCCTGGCTGTGCCCTTTCCACTGCTTCCTCCCACGACTGCCCTTCCTGCAGTTGCTCTCCCACAGTTTTCCCTTTCACCACATAGCCACTAACCTTCAATACAGGAACAATCTCCTGCCGGTCAGCAGCCAATTGCAGGTCAGCAAACGATGCTCTGGTCACCCGCACCCCCGGCTGTGCCGCCTCCACTGCATCCCCCCACGATTGCCCTTCCTGTGCTTGCTCTCCCTCCCCTCCCCCCTCTGCTCCTCCCGCTCCTCCTCCTGATCCTCCTGCTCCGGCTTTCCCTGCCACTGTTGCTGCTTGCAGCGCCGTGTATTCCAAGTGAAGGATGCGACTGATGCAATGGGGAGGGGAGAAGGGGGAGAAAGAAAAAGAGAGTGAGGGAATCGCACGTGCTGCAAGTGCTACTGCTCCTGCTTGCAGCGCCGTGTATTCCAAGCTTAGTTGCAAAAGACGCTGGGGACGTCCTGCGTCCTGCGTCTGGACGCAGCGTCCAGACGCTGTGACGCAGGACGCTCGCCAAGACACAGGACGCTTGGCGTTTTTTTTTCGGGCTGACCGAAAAAAAATGTTTTGCCCCAGCGCGAAATTGACGTTCGCGATTTCGACGCGACTGTCAACTTCGCGTCATGTCGACCCCCCCTAACCCATTTCGACCATCAAAAACACCCTAGTGGGTTTGCCTCAAATGTGTGCAACGTCGTTCCCCCCCCCCCTTCCCATGCCCTATAACATGTTTTTTTGGCTGCCCGGTGGTTTTTTTTTGCCCTGCCCGGGCATGCGCCTTTTTCAGCGTCTCTCAGGCTCTCATGAAGCGTCCTGCGTCTAAGACGCTGCGTCTGGACGCCAACGTCTTAGACGCAGGACGCGTCTTTCGCAACTAAGATTCCAAGTGAAGGAAGCGACTGATGCAATGGGGAGGAGAGTTTGGGTGGGTAGGAGAAATGCAAATTGAGCGAACCAAACAGTCTGAAGGACCAGGTTCTCCCCCTGATCCTGCTTGCAGCGCCGTGTTTTCCAAGTGAAGGATGCGACTGATGCAATGGGGAGGGGAGGAAAGCGAGAAGGCCCCTCGGGGGAAAGCGCGGGTCATGTGGGAGGCGAGAGGGAGGGAATGATTCATGTGGGAGGCGAGAGGGAGGGAATGAGTCACGTGGGTGCAGAGGGCTAAAGAGGAGGGCTTACAAACGAGGAGAGAACACACGAGAGAAAGAGAGGGTTACCTGAATGGGGGGGTAGGGTAGCCAGGTAGAGCTGCCTTCTTACCTTTCAGCGGAGAGCAGAGACGAGAAGATGGGGAATGAGTCGTGTGGGGCGCCGAGCACGCTGGGAGCACCGAGGGCAGAGCGGACGCAGAGGGCAAGAGGCGAGGGGGCGTCCCAGTTGGACACAGTCGCTCTCATCTGCGATGGAGAGGGGTGACGGAGGGCGGGGTAGTAACAGGTAGAGCAGCAAGCAAGCAGGCTGGGAGCACCGAGAGCAGAGCGGACGCAGAGGGCAAGAAGCGAGGGCGCGTCCCAGTTGGACACAGTCGCTCTCATCTGCGATGGAGAGGGGTGACGGAGGGCGGGGTAGTAACAGGTAGAGCAGCAAGCAAGCAGGCTGGGAGCACCGAGAGCAGAGCGGACGCAGAGGGCAAGAGGCGAGGGCGCGTCCCAGTTGGACACAGTCGCTCTCATCTACGGCGGGGAGGGGAAATCAGGGGTGGGAAGGGGTGACGGTGGGTCGAGAGGGGCAAACGGGGGTAGAGAGGGGTGATAAGGGGTGGGATGTAAAGCAGAGCACCAAGCAAGCACACTGGGAGCAGCGAGAGCAGAGAGCATACAAGTGGATATAGTAGGTTTCATCTGCATAATCCCCTTGAGCTCTCCACTCTTGCACATAATCAATTCTGAGAATTCTCAGAAACCAGCTCATAATCAATTTTACCACAAATCGTACAATCACCATACCACACTTTGTATAATCACCTCACCACCATCTGTACAATCACCTTACCACAATCTCTAAGATTTATCACATACTCTATAATCACCTTCTCCAGGAACCGAGTGCACGTGCCGATTTCCCCCACTCTGCTTCTGATCCTCCTCTGCCTTGCCCCCAGCTCATCTCCTGCCGTTCGTCGGTAGATCTCCTCCCAATCCGACGGCCACGATCCATCCGCGCTCGACCGCCCCTTCCCACTCCCCTTCCCACCCGGACAGAAGGCGACTCCTGATTGGACGGGGCCCAGCCACTTGTCAGATGATGGTGACGTGGCATTCAGAATGGTTTCAACCTGATTGGGCGAGGAATGGGTCAGTAGGGAGGTGGATCGAGAGTGAGAGTGAGAGTGAGAGTGAGCGTGAGAGTGAGAGTGAGATGCGAGATTGAGAGAAAAAGAGACAGGTGGGCAGAGGGTGGGGGTAGAGAAGGGGTGGAAGCGGGAGGGGGGGTGGGGGGTCTGACAGAAAAAGTGGGGTGTTGGGCAGAAAGCAGAGTCACTTATTGGCAGAGTCACTTATTGGCAGAGTCACTTATTGGCAGAGTCACTTATTGGCAGAGTCACTTATTGGCAGAGTCACTTATTGGCAGAGTCACTTATTGGCAGAGTCACTGCTGCTGCTGCTGAAGCCAGGTAGTTCGCTAGCCGCGTGACAATAAATAGGTTTTGAAAGGTCACAAAAGCAGAAAGGTGAGTTGCCTGTCAACTGCTGCTGCTGAAATTAAATACCACATGCGGATAAAGGTACCAGCACCTCCCTTCCCCTTTTCCCCGTCTCACCTCTTTCCCCTGAGCGCACGGGTGGCACGGGTGGCACTTGGCCCCGTGGAGAGGCACAGGCGCGTTGATAGAGACAGTGATGCTGCTGCAGGCGTCTGTGTGGTTACCAGCACAACAATTACTCCCGTCTCACCTCTTTCCCCTCAGCACACGGGTGGCAGGGCTGGCACTTGGCGCGTTGATAGAGACGGTGATGCTGCTGCAGGCACTTGTGTGACTGGTTACCACCCTTCCATCTCACCTCCTTGCCCTCAGCACATGGGTGGCAGGGCTGGCACTTGGCCCCGTTCAAAACCACAGACGCGTTGATTGAGACAGTGATGCTGCTGCAGGCGCTTGTGTGTCTGGTTACCACCCTTCCATCTCACCTCTGTTCCCTCAGCGCAGGGGTGGCAGGGTTGGCATTTCGCCCCGTTGAAAGGCACAGACGCGTTGATAGAGACGGTGATGCTGCTGCAGGCGCCTGTGTGGTTACCACCCCCTTCCCCTCCCTTTGTCTCTCACCTCCTTGCCCTGAGCGCAGGGGTGGCAGGGCTGACACTTGGCTCCGTTCAGAGGCACAGAAGCGTTGATAGAGACAGTGATGCTGCTGCAGGCGTCTGGGAAGGCCCGGCGTGAGAGCACACAGAAGGGGAGGTTGGCTGGTTGCACTGCTATATCGCGAGAATTAAGCTGCAGCTTGAATGTTATCTCGCTGTTCATCTGCCTGGCAGGGAGGGAGGAAGGGATGGGAGGAGGATGGAAGGATGGCCAGGTGTCGGGGAAGGCCCGGCGGGAGAGCACGCACACAGAAGGGCAGGCTGGCTGGCTGGACTGCTATGTCCCGCGACTTGAGCTGCAACTTGAATGTCACCTCGCTGTTCATCTGCCTGGGGAGTGGGGAGGAGGGTTGGACGGGAGGCAGGGAAGGAAAGGCCCGGCGGGAGAGCACACACACAGAAGGGCAGGCTGGCCGGTTGCACTGCTATGTCCCGCGACTTGAGCTGCAACTTGAATGTCACCTCGCTGTTCATCTGCCTGGAGAAGGAGGAGGAATGGGAACAGGGACGGGGGCGTGTGGGAGCAGGGAAGGGAGGGAGTTTGCCTGGATCTGTAAAATCACCCAACTGTGTTACACGGTTACCACATCGCCCTTCAGCACAGTGTCAAACCAGCAGGGAAGGTAAGGATTACCATTTGACACCAATGCTCTGCCTGTATCTGTTGACTTCATCTTGTGGTGTTACATGGTTACCACATCATCACTCGTCACACGCACCGTTTGACTCCAATCCTCTGCCTGTAGCTGTTGACCTCATCCAGCATCGTTACATGGTTACCACATAACCCATCAACACATACCCAAACCAGTGTGCTCCATTACCGTTTGATTCCAATCTTCTGCCTGTATCTGTTGACCTCATCCAGCAGTGTTACATGGTTACCACATCATCCATCAGCACACAATCAAACCGGATTTCTCTATTACCGTGTGACGCCAATCCTCTGCCTGAAATTGTTGACCTCATCCAGCAGCGTTACATGGTTACCACCCATCAACACACACTCAAACCAGTTTGCTCTATTACCGTGTGACGCCAATCCGCTGCCTGTATCTGTTGACTTCATCCAGCAGTGTTACGTGGTTACCACATCACCCGTGACACTCACCGTTTGACGCCAATCCGCTGCCTGTATCTGTTGACTTCATCCAGCAGTGTTACGTGGTTACCACATCACCTGTGACACTCACCGTTTGACGCCAATCCGCTGCCTGTATCTGTTGACTTCATCCAGCAGTGTTACATGGTTACCACATCACCCGTGACACTCGCCGTTTGACGCCAATCCGCTGCCTGTATCTGTTGACTTCATCCAGCAGTGTTACGTGGTTACCACATCATCCGTGACACTCACCGTTTGACGCCAATCCGCTGCCTGTATCTGTTGACTTCATCCAGCATCGCCAGTCGTGACAGCGCCACCACACTCTCCTCCCTCCTCCCGCCCCTTGTGACACACCCTACTACAGCCATGCCAGCACACCCACAGCTCAACACATCACACTACGCCTCACTCACTCACCGTTTGACGCCAATCCTCTGCCTGTATCTGTTGACCTCACTCATCCAGCATCGCCAGTCGTGACAGCGCCACCACACTCTCTCTCACTCACCTCATCCCCACTGACCGCTTTTCAGTCATATCACATTTTCATCTCAATGTAGACTTCGCCCAGTGGTGTTACATGGTTACCACATGGTTATCACATGTGATACCCACCGTTTGACGCCAATCCGCTGTCTGTATCTGTTGATTTCATCCAGCATCGCCAGCCGTGACAGCGCCACCACACTCTCCTCCCTCCTCCCAAACCCAAACCGGTCATTCACGCCGCCCCAGTTCGACCCATATGGGACGACGTATGCCGCCCTCTCCCGAATGCTCTCGCCCTCTTTCCCCTCTGCCCCTCCTCCTCCTTCTTCTCCCCCTTCCCTCCTCTCCACCCCTTTTTCCGCCCATCCAATAAAAGACGAAAGCGGGGGTGCCGGCGCCGACCAATAACCATCAAGCCGCGTGCGCAGCACCCACCGGTACTGCTGGCCGGCACGGTTTGTCTTTTCCTCACGTTCTATGAGCGGCAAACAGCCCTCAATCAACCTGAAGTACTGCAGAATCCCCTGAACCCCATTCGGAGATCCCCAGGGGAGGATAATGATAGACCCGGGATAGAGTGATGCGTCTACAGGTACAACAGGGAACACCCGCACTCCCTTTATAGCACCAGCCATTTTCCCAGCTGCGCCCTGCTGCTCGTTATAGCCACTTCTGCTACTGTCCTCCTGGTTGTCCGTGCTGCTGCTGCTGCTGCTGCTTCTGCTGGCTGTAGCATGATTCCCGTGCATGGCATGAGCGCGAGCAAGGGCTGAGATCTTCGCGGCGTTTTCATCCAACGGTGCGTGGATGAAGAGGTCGAAGGGCAGCAGGGAGGGCAGCAGGTGCTGTGTGATGGTGGGGCCTGTGGCGTCTAAGTCCCGCGCGCCCCCCACCAGACACACTGCCAACGAGGGGAGGGAGGGCTGGGGAAGGGGAGAACGAAGGGGAGCAAGTGGAGAGGGAGAGGTGAGGACCGAAGGAGCAGCAGGGAGGGCAGCAGGGAGGGCAGCAGGGAGGGCAGCCGGTGGTGTGTGATTGTGGGACCTGTGGCAAGTCCCGCGCGCCCCCTACCAGACACACTGCCAGGGGGGGGAGGGAAGGGGAAGAGGAGAATGCGAGGGGAGGAGAGGAGGGAGAATGGGGAGCGGCGGAGGGGGGAGCGACGAAAGAGGAGCGCAGGAGGGGGGAGCGGAGAAATGGGGATCGAAAAATGGGGAGCGGAGGGGAGATCGAAGAATGGGAGGAGGAGGAGGAGGGGAGAAGAGAGAATGGGGAGCGGAGGGGAGAGGGGGGGGACAATGGAAAGCGTAGGAGAGCGGAGCGGGTAAGGGGTAGTAAAGAAGCGCGACGACGCAGATTATCAGTGGATACCGCTTCTGAACCCAAGTGAACTTTGAGTTCTACGTGGACTTTTGAGTCGACTCAAAAGTCACATGACGAATCTATTTTTGAGGCGCCTCAAAAATAGAACCCAGGTGACTTTTGAGTCGACTCAAAAGTCGCATGAAGGAGGAGGATGCGGAGAAGGGGGACGACGTACATCATCATTCGATGCTGCTCCTGAATCTTCGGACTGTGACCGGGTCCCTTCCTCTCCGCTTCTTCCGCCGTCATTCCCGCTACCCCTGTTGCTGCTCAAATCTTCGGAACCAACAGGGCCCGCGCTCTCCCCGATAATGGCCGCTTCGCTTCTGCTCTTCGTGACTACAGTGCCAGCTCGTTTCGAGCTACAAAAGATACAGATCTTATCAGCGAAACGCCACGCGGACGTGCAGCCGGCAAGAACGAGAAAAACGACAAGGAGTGCCACCCGCCTCCGTTCCGTGCGAGTCAACCTCGGGTACGCCATCGGTTCTGGTGTTTGCTGCATCCGAGAATCCGAGAATTGCTATAGACGAGGTAGCTACGTCAGAGAATTGCTGCATCCGACCGATGGCCACCGGGAATAGCTAAAGCCACCGGGATCCCATTCTAGTGCTGTTGTTTCACAACCACTGATAACAAGGGGAGAGACTGAACAGAATCAGCTGATTGTACTGAAATACCATCAACAACACATCCACGCTGCAATTCGGTCGGAACAATTGAACAAGAGAAGGAAAGTGGGAGAGCTGGAGGATTGGTTTGGTGGAGGCGAGAATTTCTATGCCGAGGGAGGGAAAGGAATGGATGGAGTCTGAAAGGTCAAAATCCTCGTTGTTAACAGACTCGTCACGGATAGAACCTGTGGGACAAAAGAACCAATGTTCATGCCAGCGATTTGCGAAGGGGACACGAATTAGATGTCTTTCGCTAGACATTCGATGTTGGCTTGGAACGCTGTGATTGGTGTACGGCTGGATGTACTGTGAGTGCCACACACACACTGCGCGATGATCAAGACACGAATCCGCTCCAGCGTTGATTCCACCGATGCCCCCAACAGCACTCAGTTTTGAGTGGCTCGCGAACAGCCTGGCTAGGGTAACAAGGCATTGGGCGACCCTCCCCCACCACCTCCCCTGGAATTTTGTGCCTTGCCTTCCTAGGTTTCCGCCCTACCCCACATACGCCTACCCACTTGGGAAAGGAAAGGACGAACACTTGAATGTGAATCAAAATGAGGATACACTAAGGACGCTGCTAAATGATTGTTGCTATGTTGCTGATGCTGATATAGGTCTCCGACTAAGTGACAAGAATCTGTTCCTAAGATATTCCAAAATGGATAAGACGAATTATAAAATTTCAACTCAATAAGCATAAAGATCCATGTCGCGAGGGAATTTTGTCAGGCAAGCAGATATTACCTTTCTCATATTCCTATATCATTCTTGATACAGAACTAATTAGTCAACCTTGTAATTTTTACCTAGCACTCGATATTATCAACCTAACGGTGGGATCTTGGTGACTCCACCGTGCCCTACGCGCCCACAACGAAGGGGCCCTGTCAGCGTCCCGAACGGTGCAGCAGATTCGCGCGGGGAATTCCAGTCGTTGCGCGTCAGACGGCCTCCACCGTGCGAGGAAAGTTGGGTCTGGTCAGCCCGATGCGACGGATAGCGAAGTCTTGCGGGAGGCATGCGACGTGCCATTGGGGGGAAAGTCTGGCCTTGAGAACACCGTGCGAGAGCTGGTTGGTAGAGAAAAGGGATCATTTTGCTACCCAACCATTCAGTTTCCAGAACCAAAAAGGCCACTGATAGCTCATTCTCCTCCAGCAGGCCTCGTTAGGAATCTCAGATTACTCCGATCTTATTGATTTCCATTACCACTCTAGCTCTCGTTTCCTAAAAGCAGTTCACCATGGGTTTGTCCTTCGGGAAGCTCTTCGCGAGATTTTTTGGGAAACGGGACATGCGTATTCTGATGGTTGGTCTAGATGCCGCTGGTAAAACGACCATTCTGTACAAGCTGAAGCTGGGAGAGATCGTGACCACCATTCCAACCATTGGTATGATTGCAGTCCTTCGTCGATCTGCTGTCAGACTCGCTTAAGACACCTTTAAGTTTGCTAAGCGACCTTATCTTCATTCCAATCCAGGATTCAATGTCGAAACTGTGGAATACAAGAACATCAGCTTCACTGTGTGGGATGTGGGAGGTCAGGACAAGGTAAGAAAAGCAAATTGCAACTAGGCCTCTAATTGTTAGGTCGTTTCGTAATTGGACTAATTTTGTATTTTATCTCTTTGTACAGATCCGTCCCCTTTGGAGGCATTACTTCCAGAACACACAAGGTCTGATTTTCGTTGTCGACAGCAACGATAGGGATCGTGTGATGGAAGCCAGGGATGAGTTGCACAGAATGCTCAACGAGGTCAGCATCATCTTTTGTTGCTTATTGAAATTCTTCGATAGTGCTGGTGACCTGGTTTGTGTACTTACTCTTTCTCCGCCTCCTTTTTCCAGGACGAATTGCGAGACGCGGTGCTGCTTGTGTTCGCTAACAAGCAGGATCTTCCGAATGCCATGAACGCTGCAGAGATTACCGATAAGCTTGGTCTTCATTCATTGCGCCAGCGTCAATGGTAAGTGGCCGTTTCAAGGCGATTTCGATTTGGTTCTAAATCTATCATTAGCGTGAGAATTCGGTCGACATTCTGTTTGATCCACGGAGAAATGTCGTTTTGACTTGTTGCCTTTGACTGTCATGCCTCCTTCGCTCATTTCAGGTACATCCAGAGTACTTGCGCTACCTCAGGAGAAGGTCTCTATGAGGGTCTCGACTGGCTGTCCAACAACATCCAGTCAAAGGTGCGTTTACTCAGTTTTGGGAAAGTTACCTCCATACTGGCGACGTGTCATCATAAGAGCTAACAAACATAAACCGTCAATGTTGGCAGGACTAAGCGGTGCAGCATTCGCAGGAGGGGAGCGTACCACCATCTAAGCATCTTAGACGCTTCACTTGACAAGTTTCTAGCGCTAAACCACCACATTTTCAAACATATTTCTCCAAATCTTTACTTGGTGCTAAACACCATTTTTTGTATGCCATCCTTGCTTGTAGCAACAGTGATTCATTATGAGCTTGATTGTACACAAATGCATCTTAAGATTCCTAAACAGAAATTCCTGAGGCAAATTACGAGTGACTTTGGATCTCTACATTTAGATTTCTAGTGGATCATTTTTAATCACGGTACTCCAATCCATGATCATATTTAGTGCCTAAGGATCTCTATAATGCCTGACAATTCATGCAGCGATTCTGCCTGCATCTTATCCCAGACCCTTGCATGTGAGGCCCGTATCGTAGCTTCTCGTTATGTTTCTGCTATCAACCCATAGGATAATTCCACTGAACCAAAGCACACTTGAATTGTTATGAATTCGTTTTGAGGTTCCGTACACAAACCAAAGAACCTGTTTCTGGGATTTTTGTGTTGTTCTTTGCAATCTTGATAAGTAGTGAGTCCAACTGCACTTCACGGGATTCGGTGTTGTTGAACCGTGAGAACGAGTTGCTCATAGTCGTCTGAAGCACCTGACTTTATGTAACAGCGTCAGTTGCGGCATTCGTTGGCGCATTGCTTTGAGGAAGTAGCTCAGATATCGACAAGGTTGCCTCATCAGAGCAACGCTTCCGCGTGCTATATCGACAACGCTGCCTTATCTCGGATCCTGGCGGTCGGCTCTCTCCACCAGTCATGTTTCGCCTTAAGGTGACGCGGTGTTGTCGCCAGCGCCGTGCTCTGTGGTCGCTATGCGTGGCCGTGCTTATAACGGAGGCTGCAATGAGAGTGGACGCGAGGGATGAGGCTGTGCTGGTGGGCTGCAGCGGGTTTGTCAAGGTGAGGCGCATGACGTGGTGTGTGAGGCGCATGCTATCGGGTCACACATTACATCTCACACATGCCATGGTACCTGAGATAGGTCATGATGCGACAGCATGCATGCCATTGTTTGTAATCCATGACAATGAGTGGCAAATGGAAAGGGGTGACAGGTGACAGTGAACAATGACAATGAACGACACATGGTAATGAATGGCACATGCCAATGAATGGCACATGCATGGCATTGAATGACACATGCCAATGAATGACACGTGACAATGAATGACACATGGCAATGAATGGCACATGGTACTGAATGGCACATGGCAATACACATGGCACTGAATGATGGGCAGATGACAATGAATGGCATATGACAATGAACGACACATGGCAATGAAGGGCACATGGCAATACACATGACAATGATTTGCACATGACAATGAATGACAGATTGCGTTGAATGGCACATTGCACTGAATGAAACGTGGTAATGTATGACACATGACAATGAATGCCAGAATTTGAAACTGGCGTTCAGGTGGTTGTGCTTTTGTGATTATCATGGGCTGTGACCATGATTTGACGATTTTGTTATGTCTCTTCGATGTGACTGTAATGCAGCCAAGTGCTCGTCTGACATCTCTTCTGCCGCAAGCGAGCAATTCAGAGGCAATTGACTACACCCATATCATGGTAATGTCTTGACTAATTTACACCTTTATGTCTATCAAGGAAATCTGTGTTAATTACACCCGCGTCATGGTAATTGGTGTGTCAGCTGCATTTGTGATTGGTAAATCATGGCTTGTGTGCCCATACTGAATGCAAAATTATGGTGATGATCACACACGTCCTGATGAGCAATTTCTTATCATTCTCAGGAATAATAATTCAAATAAAAAGGAGATGTGTTCTGGTATTCATATGTATTTTTGCGATGACTTTTTTATGCTGTACAGGTCGAGCTACAGTCCCATGACGGCAGCTTCGTGCATGAAAGGACACACTGTGACGAGGATGGCTATTACTTGCTCATGCCTCCTTCCCTCCAGGTGCGTTTTTCTCTCAATCTGCATTAGTCCCCCCGGTTTACCTTTGCTCCCTCCCTTCCTCTCTCCCTCCCTTCCTCCCCCCCCCGCCTTCCCTCTTCCACATGCTACTCTCATCCCGCCTTCCCTCTCCCACATGCCACTCTCCTCCCGTCTTCCTCCTTCCCTCTACTCTTCTCTCGTCTTCGCCTTCCCCCCTCATTTTCCCGTCCCACGAGTCCTTCCTCATCGCCCTCCACTTCCCCTCGACCCCTTTTGAGGCGCCTCAAAAGTCATCTCCTCCCGTCTTCCCTCTTCCCTCCACTCTGCTCTCGTCTTCCCGTTCCCCCACTCATTTTCCCCTCCCACGAGTCCTTTCTCATCACCCTTACATCCACTTCCCCCCGACCCCTCCTCCCCCATTCCTTCCCCCCAGTTAGCCCGTAGGCCTGCTCTTGAGAATTCTCAAAACTCGCTCAGGCTGACTTTGTTGTAATCTCTTTGCCATGAACTTGCTTTTTGAGGCCATCCCCCCCATTCTTCCCCTCCCCTCCCCTTTCCCCTCCTCTTCCCCCCCTTCTCCCTTCCCCTTCTACCCCTCCATCCTCCTTCCTCCTTTTTCTCTTCCTCCCCTTTCCCTTTCCTCTCAGGAATCCTTTCTAATCGCCCTACGTGCCCCCCCCGGCTGGTCTGTAGACTCTCCCAAGGTGACTTTCGCTCCTTGCCCGCTTGCCTTATCAATATTCAATCCCAGCGTCTACCTCAATTCCCATCGCCTCCTCTATTCCCGCCTCTATATCCTTAATTCCCTCCCCTCCCCCCCCATTCCCCCCGCCTCTCTCCTCAGTTCCTGCCTTCATCTCCTCACTTCCCGCCCATATCTCTTCAACTCCTTCCTCTATTGAACCGGTTAATATTCCTGTCCGCAAATCACTAAATGGGACTCAATCACCCCCCCCACCCTGCCCTCCCCCCCTCTCCCCCTTTTTTCCCATGCCAGTTATCAGCACAATCCCATTTGGCAAGTGACCAGATTCCCTCTGACTGTCCTCAGCTTTGATTCACTTAACCCTCGCACCCGGATTCCCTCTCATCTCTTGATTTCATCCTCGCACCCCGTCTGATCCCCTCTTTCATGCTTGCATGCAGATGGTGGTTGTCGATTCTCTCTTCTGCAATCTCATAATATCTGACTTGAGATCTCTAAAGAATAATCTCTTGATTTCATCCTCGCACCCAACCCACCTGATCCCCTCTTTCATGCGTGCATGCAGATGGTGGTTGTCGATGCTGTGTCCTGCAATGCTGGCAATGACATGGATTTCCACATTCACGGGTACGTGTGTGTTTAGGATAGCTCTTTCAATTTTCTTGAAAACAAAATACCGCGTATGCTTGCTTTCACACACTATTAGCATGTTGATTTCACCTGAAAGTGCAGTAAAACATTGTTGTTTCTCCTGGAGCAGGTTTGGCCTCTCAGGCCGCATACTCCCTCACTCGCCAGCAGCAACAGAAGCAAAAAAAGGCTCAGCAGGAGCAAGAAAAGGCTCAGCAGAAACAGGAGCAGACTTAGCAGGCGGAGCACCCCTGACAGGGCCGGCTGGTATCCTTGTAACCGTACAATCCGTTCACGGAACCAGTGGAAGCAGCGGCAGCAGTAGCAGCGGCAGTGACAGTGAGACACAGCAGCAGGTGGCAGCAACGGCTGTCACCGATGCCAGTGGTGTGTTCAGCTTCCCCGGCCTTCCTGTGGGTGAGTACGTGGTGGGGGGATAGCACACTGTGGGAGGCTTCCTGTGGGGGGATAGCACTTCTTGAGGCTCCTTTCGTTGTCGTGTAACCACCCACTTGCCCATCCACCCACCCACCCACTCACCCCATCCACCCACCCACCCACTCACCCCATCCACCCACCCACCCACTCACCCCACCCACCCACCCACCCACTCACCCCATCCACCAACCCACCCACTCACCCCACCCACCCACCGCACCCACCCACTCACCCGCACCGACTACAGGAGCATATGAGCTTTCTGCTTCACACCCTCTGTGGACCATCCACCCCCTCGCTACAAGCACACTCGATTCAACAACTCCTGAATCAAGCACACATATACTAACAAACAAACAACCCATTCACCCATTCGCCCACCCACCCACCCGCCCACTGCTGTCAACAGGAGCATATGAGCTGACTGCCTCGCACCCCCTGTGGACCATCCACCCCCTCACTACAAGCACACTCGATTCAACAACGTCTGACTCTGCTGAGTCAACCACTCGCAGCAGTGCGAGTGCCAGAGTGCCTGCGGAGGTGGGGTGGGAAAGCAAGGACGCAGGGGCGCTCTTCTATGTGGCCAGCTACACGTGTGCTTCCGTCCAGGACCAGGCACTCCTCCCGCAGGTGACTTTTGAGTCGACTCAAAAGTCACCCAGCTACACGCTTGCTACACACTTGCTGCTGCCCAGGACCAGGTACTCCCGCACTGCCGCTCAGGTACGCACATGCATTCTCTATCTCTCTCTCTCCTGCTGAGCCAGCCACATACAGTGCAAGCGCTAGAATGGCTGTGGTGGAGGCGGGATGGGAGAGCAAGGACGCAGGGGCACTCTTCCATGTGGCCAAGCCAGCTACTCTCCAGTGTTGCTCAGGTACGCGCAGGGGCACTCTTCCATGTGGCCAGCTACTCTTGAGTCGACTCAAAAGTCACCTTGTGTTGCTGAGGTACGCGCAGGGGCACTCTTCCATGTGGCCAGCTACTCTTGAGTCGACTCAAAAGTCACCTTGTGTTGCTCAGGTACGCGCAGGGGCACTCTTCCATGTGGCCAGCTACTCTTGAGTCGACTCAAAAGTCACCTTGTGTTGCTCAGGTACGCGCAGGGGCACTCTTCCACTGCCTCTCTCTCGCTAGAAGGCCTGTGGAGGTGGGGTGTGGCTCCAAGACGCAGGGGCTCTCGTCCATGTGACCAGCTACGCCCTCACTGCTGCTCAGGACTGGGTACGCCCTTGCTGCCTGCCACTGCTGCCTCCCTCCTGTCAAGTGCATTCAACCACACACAGCAGTGCATTTTTGAGAATTCTCAAAAGTGACTCAAAAGTGAATTCTCAAAAGCATTCAACCACACACAGCAGTGCATTTTTGAGAATTCTCAAAAGTGACTCAAAAGTGAATTCTCAAAAGCATTCAACCACACACAGCAGTGCAATCGCTATAGTGCCGGTGGACCAAGGACGCAGGGGCTCTCTTCTATGTGGCCAGCTACGCCCTCACTGCTGCTCAGGACCGGGTACGCCCTTGCTGCCTCTCTCCTGTCAAGTCAAGTCAACCACACACAGCAGTGCAAGCGCTAGAGTGCCCATGGAAATGTCTCAAGTGCTGCTCCTGTAACTCGTCACCTCATGTTTGGCTTTTCCTCCTCTTTCCCCCACCTTTTTCCAGCCAAATACTGCTGTGGTGACAGGCAGCGGCAGGGTAGTGGATGCGGAGGGCCGTGGGGTGGAGGGAGTGACAGTGCTGCTGCTGCTGCTGCTGCTGCTGCTGCTGCTGCTGCTGCTGCTGCTGCTGCTGCTGCTGCTGCTGCTGCTGCTGCTGCTGCTGCTGTGGTGGTGGCAGTGCGGGCTGTGGGGTTCCAACTCCTGCTCCTCACCACCATCGTAACACTTCCTTTAATCCCCTCAGATTTCTTACCTCTCAATCCTTGTCCCCCTCATCCCCACACATCCGGATACTGCTCTGGGGACAGGCAGTGGCAGGGTGGAGGACAGGGAGGGCTGTGGGGTGGGCCCTAACTCCTCCTCACCTCCTTCCCTCCTCAACCCCCACGTTTGATTCTTCCCCACCCTGTCCCAGCCCGATACTGCTCTGGGGACAGGCAGTGGCAGGGTGGAGGACAGGGAGGGCTGTGGGGTGGGCCCTAACTCCTCCTCACCTCCTTCCCTCCTCAACCCCCACGTTTGATTCTTCCCCACCCTGTCCCAGCCCGATACTGCTCTGGTGACAGGCAGTGGCAGGGTGGAGGGCGGGGAGGGCCGTGGGGTGGAGGGGGCGACGGTGCTGCTGGACGGGCTCTCAGTGGCTGTGTCTGACGCTCAGGTGGGTTGCTGGGGCTGTAGCCTTGAAGTGCTTGTCGAGAGGGTGGAGGATGGGGAGAGTAGGCTGTGGGGTGGAGGGAGCAACAGTGATGCTGGATGGGCTCTCAGTGGCTGTGTCTGACGCTCAGGTGGGTTGCTAGTGTGATGGCCTATAAGTGCTTGTCGAGTGGATGACGGATGGGGAGAGTAGACTGTGGGGTGGAGGGAGCGACGGTGCTGCTGGATGGGCTGTCACTGACGCGCAGGTGAGTTCAACGCTAGTGCTACGAGTGGTGGTTATCGTGAGAGGAGGATGCGGGGAGTAGGCTGTGGGGTGGAGGGAGCGACGGTGCTGCTGGATGGGCTCTCAGTGGCTGTGTCTGACGCTCAGGTGAGTTTGATTATATGCCATTGTGCTCATTACAGCGAGAGGGGGATGGGGAGAGTAGGCTGTGGAGTGGAGGGAGCGATGTTGGCTACAAGGTGTTACTGTGTTACGGTTGCTACAGTTAGTGTAGAAATGTGACTGCAACCACCTGACTCCTTTTCCCTGCACACCTGACTTCTCATGCTAATCTCCTCGCCCCTCTTCTCACCCCTCTTCTCACCCCTCCTCTCACCCCTCTTCTCACCCCTCCTCTCACCCCTCTTCTCACCCCTCTTCTCACCCCTCCTCTCACCCCTCTTCTCACCCCTCTTCTCACCCCTCCTCTCACCCCTCTTCTCACCCCTCTTCTCACCCCTCTTCTCACCCCTCTTCTCACCCCTCTTCTCACCCCTCTTCTCACCCCTCTTCTCACCCCTCTCCTCACCCCTCTTCTCACCCCTCTTCTCACCCCTCTTCTCACCCCTCTTCTCACCCCTCTTCTCACCCCTCTTCTCACCCCTCCTCTCACCCCTCTTCTCACCCCTCCTCTCACCCCTCTTCTCACCCCTCTTCTCACCCCTCCTCTCACCCCTCTTCTCACCCCTCCTCTCACCCCTCTTCTCACCCCTCTTCTCACCCCTCTTCTCACCCCTCTTCTCACCCCTCTTCTCACCCCTCTTCTCACCCCTCTTCTCACCCCTCTTCTCACCCCTCTCCTCACCCCTCTTCTCACCCCTCTTCTCACCCCTCTTCTCACCCCTCTTCTCACCCCTCTTCTCACCCCTCTTCTCACCCCTCTTCTCACCCCTCTTCTCACCCCTCTCCTCACCCCTCTTCTCACCCCTCTTCTCACCCCTCTTCTCACCCCTCTCCTCACCCCTCTTCTCACCCCTCTTCTCACCCCTCTTCTCACCTCTTCTCACCCCTCTTCTCACCCCTCTTCTCACCCCTCTTCTCACCCCTCTTCTCACCCCTCTTCTCACCCCTCTTCTCACCCCTCTTCTCACCCCTCTCTCACCCCTCTTCTCACCCCTCTTCTCACCCCCTCTTCTCACCCCTCTTCTCACCCCCTCTTCTCACTCACCCCTCTTCTCACCCCTCTTCTCACCCCTCTTCTCACCCCTCTTCCTCACCCCTCTTCTCACCCCTCTTCTCACCCCTCTTCTCACCCCTCTTCTCACCCCTCTTCTCCCCCCTCTTCTCACCCCTCTTCTCACCCCTCTTCTCACCCCTCTTCTCACCCCTCTTCTCACCCCTCTTCTCACCCCTCTTCTCACCCATCTTCTCACCCCTCTTCTCACCCCTCTTCTCACCCTCTTCTCACCCCTCTTCTCACCCCTCTTCTCACCCCTCTTCTCACCCCTCTTCTCACCCCTCTTCTCACCCCTCTTCTCAACCCCTCTTCTCAACCCCTCTTCTCACCCCTCTTCTCACCCCTCTTCTCACCCCTCCTTCTCACCCCTCTTCTCACCCCCTCCTTCTCACCCCTCTTCTCACCCCTCTCCTCTTCTCACCCCTCTTCTCACCCCTCTTCTCACCCCTCTTCTCACCCCTCTTCTCACCCCTCTTCTCACCCCTCTTCTCACCCCTCTTCTCACCCCTCTTCTCACCCTCTTCTCACCCCTCTTCTCACCCCTCTTCTCACCCCTCTTCTCACCCCTCTTCTCACCCCTCTCTCACCCCTCTTCTCACCCCTCTTCTCACCCCTCTTCTCACCCCTCTTCTCACCCCTCTTCTCACCCCTCTTCTCACCCCTCTTCTCACCCCTCTTCTCACCCCTCTTCTCACCCCTCTTCTCACCCCTCTTCTCACCCCTCTTCTCACCCCTCTTCTCACCCCTCTTCTCACCCCTCTTCTCACCCCTCTTCTCACCCCTCTTCTCACCCCTCTTCTCACCCCACCCCTCTCTCACCCCTCTTCTCACCCCTCTTCTCACCCCTCTTCTCACCCACCTCTTCTCACCCCTACCCTCTTCTCACCCCTCTTCTCACCCCTCTTCTCACCCCTCTTCTCACCCCTCTTCTCACCCCTCTTCTCACCCCTCTTCCACCCTCTTCTCACCCCTCTTCTCACCCCTCTTCTCACCCCTCTTCTCACCCCTCTTCTCACCCCTCTTCTCACCCCTCTTCTCACCCCTCTTCTCACCCCTCTTCTCACCCCTCTTCTCACCCCTCTTCTCACCCCTCTTCTCACCCCTCTTCTCACCCCTCTTCTCACCCCTCTTCTCACCCCTCTTCTCACCCCTCTTCTCACCCCTCTTCTCACCCCCCTCTTCTCACCCCTCTTCTCACCCCTCTTCTCACCCCTCTTCTCACCCCTCTTCTCACCCCTCTTCTCACCCCTCTTCTCACCCCTCTTCTCACCCCTCTTCTCACCCCTCTTCTCACCCCTCTTCTCACCCCTCTTCTCACCCCTCTTCTCACCCCTCTTCTCACCCCTCTTCTCACCCCTCTTCTCACCCCTCTTCTCACCCCTCTTCTCACCCCTCTTCTCACCCCTCTTCTCACCCCTCTTCTCACCCCTCTTCTCACCCCTCTTCTCACCCCTCTTCTCACCCCTCTTCTCACCCCTCTTCTCACCCCTCTTCTCACCCCTCTTCTCACCCCTCTTCTCACCCCTCTTCTCACCCCTCTTCTCACCCCTCTTCTCACCCCTCTTCTCACCCCTCTTCTCACCCCTCTCCTCACCCCTCTTCTCATCCCTCTCCTCACCCCTCCTCCTTCCCTTCCCTTTCAAACATCACCCTCCCTCCTGCTCCTGCTACCGCCACAGTTGCTGCTGATGCCACAACCACCACTGGTGCAAGCGAAACAAGAGCTGCCGCGCTAACTGCCGCTGCCCTGCCGCCCATCCGTGCCGCCCGGTACGCGCTGTGCGGGCGGGTGGAGATGGAGGCGGGCGGCGAGTCGTCCTTTGTGCCGTGGCGGCGAGTGGAGCTGAGCATAGCCGGTGATTTCGATGGCTCTCACATGGACGGCTCTCAGGATGCCAGTTGGGGGGCTATCAGCAGCACAAGTGCAAGAGGAATCAGCAGGGGCAGCAGCAGGAGCAGCAGCAGCAGCAGCAGCAGCAGCAGCAGCAGCAGCAGGAGCAGCAGCAGCAGCAGCAAGGGGTTGAGCAGGCAGGAAGCAAGCAGGAGTGTGGCCCCAGTGATTGCAGAGGCGGACAAAGATGGACGGTTCTGCTTCATGGTGGGTGGGTGGGTTGATGTGGATTGGAAATGGGTGTGCACGGGGAGAGCATGGGGTGAGTGGTAGCGGTAAGCGGCTGCGCAGGCAGGAAGCGAGCAGGAGTGTGGCTCCGGTGATTGCAGAGGCGGACAAAGATGGACGGTTCTGCTTCATGGTGGGTGGTCTGATGTGGATGTGGGTGCACGTGCACGGAGGTGAGTGGCTGTGGGTGCACGGAGGTGAGTGGCTGTAGGCGATGCCTGAGAATGGGGTGCAGAATTGTACTTATACGATGCAAAGTCTCACAAAATGCTTCACTATTTATGTGTGATGGGATTTGTTTCATGAAAGCTTGTTGTCTTTGACAATTCCGAAATTTCTTCCCTGCTTGCTTCCTCAATCCTCGTGGCCTCCTCCCTCCCTCCCCCTCCCTCCTCCCTCTTCCCACTCTCCCCCTCTCCCCGCCTCACCCTATTCTCCTGATTCCCCCCCCACCCCCACTCTCTCCTGCTGCCCCTAGGTGCCACGTGGCAGCTACCAGTTGGTTCCTGAGATCAGCCCGGATGAGGTCGCAGCAGGGCTGATCTTCTCCCCCTCTATAGAGGAATCCGTTACAGTCACATCCGCCCCCGTCACAAACATAGTCTTCAAACAGGTGTGGTACTATTAGAATGCGTATCGTATCACCTACCGCCACTGGTTAATGTTTTCTCTCTGGCCTGATTTTTGTTACTGTCACATCCGCCCCCGTCACAAAGATAGCGCGATACGACGACACCCCGACCTGACGATTCGTATCATACCATATCGTACCATATCGTACCATATCGTCATATGCCTGCTGTGCTTTCCTGCTCCCTCCCTTCTTGCTTGCTCTATGCTGCCTATGCATCACACGCCGTCTCTGCTTCAAAGTCTTCATTATAAGTCATTCCTGTTACAGTCCCATCAGTTACAGTCACTGCTTTTAGTCACACTTGTTCCACCCTCCTTGCCGTACCCCCCTTTACAGTCACATCTGTTCATATCTGGCAAGGTGCGGTGTCTGCAACAGTGTGACTCCACCGTTACAGTCACACTCTGGGCTCTCACACAAAATGGGGCAGATGACGCAGCAGGTGGAGAGACAGAATTGCAGCAAGGCACGTTCTTACAACGGATGGTGGTGGGCGGAGGGGAGGGGGAGGCAGGGGGGAAGGCGGAAGGCCGGGGGGGAAAGGCGAGGGGGAGAGGGAAGGGAAAAGGAAGAGGAGAGGGGAGTGGGGGCAAGGCAGAGGTGGCAGAGAAGGGAGGTTCTGTGGGATCGTTCTTCTTTGACCGGTTGCTGCCGGGATCGTACCGAATCGAGGTGAGTGGTCTATCTCATTGGAAGTGTGTGTTTCGTGGGAGAGGATGGCAGGGGAAGGGGAGGATTGGAGAGGCCGTGACGAAGAGGCATGGTCGGATTGTTCTTCTTTGACTGGCTGCTGCCGGGATTGTACCGAATCGAGGTGAGTGGGCCACTGGAGGGATTTCCAATCAAAAGTGTTGCTTTGAGAGGGGGGGGAATGGGGGAAAGGCAGAGGTGGGGTAGAAGAGAGGGACAGTCGGATCGTTCTTCTTTGACCGGCTGCTGCCGGGATCGTACCGGATCGAGGTTTCTATTGTAAAGAGGAATGTGTTTCTATTTCATTAGAAAGGTGTGTTTTACGAAAGAGAGTTGAGTGGAAGGGGAGGAGAAGTGAGGCAAGGTAAGGTGTGTCTCATGGGAGAGAGGTGAAGGGAAGAGGACAGGAAGGCGTAGCAGGCAATGAAGAGAGAGGCACGGCCGGATTGATCTTCTTTACTGCATTATACTACCGGATTGACGTTCTTCAGGCTTCTATCTACTGATGAAGGTTCGCAAGAACCGAAACTACTTTACGCAAGTGCTGATTTTAAGCTGACGTTCTGTTCAATCTGGCTCTCTAATTCGCTCGAGCACACAAGTCAACCACGCTCTTCATTTTTTCATTCCATGGAGTTTGCTTCGTCGTCGTAGAACCATCAGGCAGCAGGCAGTGAAGAGAGGCACGGCTGGATTGTTCTCCTTTGACTGCATCATGCTACCGAATTGAGATGTCACCCCGGCCACTCATTGGGTCGTATCGAATTGTATCTTTACTGGTCATGTCCGAAGTGACACCTCTATTAAGGTGCAGCACCTTGCAGCACCTTGCAGCACCTTGCAGCACCTTAACTCCTTTCCTTTTGTTTCTCCCCATGCAGGCTCGCAAGGCTCCCACCAATGCCACTGCTTTGCAGAACGACGAGTGGTGCTGGGAGGAGGAGGGCCGCGCTGACGTGGCGGTGTTTGATTCGCCCGTGACGAACGTACAGCTGGCACAGCGCGGGTGGCGCATGGTCGTGCGGGCGGCAATGGAGGACAAATTCACGTTGACCCATGGGGACTACGATCCCACTGATTTCTCTGTGTCGGTCAGTGCAGGGACCTCTGTGTGGGTATGCTCGTGGTAGCATAGAGAGAGGTGCCTTGAACTGGTTTGGCACACAGCAAGGGTGGTGCGAGGCAAGCATGGAGGACCCATTCACATCACACTGACCCATGAAGACTAAGACCCCACTGACATCTCTGTGTCGGTAGGAGCATGAGATGGTGGAATAGAGGTGACTGGAACTGTGCTTGGCACACAGCGAGCCAGTGGCGCATGGTGCTGCGAGCAGCCATGGAGGACCCATTCACACTAACCCATGAAGACTAAGACCCCACTGACATCTCTGTCGCAGTAAGAGCATGAGATGGTGGCGTGGAGTAGAGTAGAGGTGACTGGAGGAACTGGTGTTGCACACAACAAGGGTGGCGCATGGAGGTGTGGGTAGCAATGGATGACCGATTTACGTTGACTCGTTGCAACTATGACCCTACTGGCTTCTCTGTGTCGGTGAGAGTGTGGTATCATAGAGATCAGGGAAACTGCTTTGGCACAGTGAGAGAGAGTTGGTGGTGCATGGTGGTGGTGTGGGCAGCAATTGATGAAAGATTCATATTGACTCATGGGGACTATGACCCCACTGGCTTCTCTGTGTCGGTGAGAGCGCATGGTACCATAGAGATTAGTGAGTTGACGCACAGCGAGAGAGGGGGGTTAGGCATGGTGGTGCGGGCAGCAATGGAGGACAGGCTCACGTTGACTCACGGGGACTATGATCCCACTGACTTCTCTGTCTCGGTAAGTGCAGCCATTGGTTTACAGTGCGGCATGGTGTGGTGTGGTGTGGTGTGGTGTGGTGTGGTGTGGTGTGGCGGGTACTGTGGTGACTGAACAAACAAACAACAAGGGTTGCATGTGGTGGTGCGGGCAGCAATGGAGGACCGATTCACGTTGACTCATGGGGACAATGACCCTGCTGACTTCAGTGTATTGGTGAGAGCATGGTACCACGGTCCATAGGTAGTTAGGTGCTGGAAGTGGTTTTGCACAGAGCGAGAGAGAGAATGGGTGGCCATGGAGGACAGGTTCACGTTGACCCACGGGGAAATGACCCTGCTGTGCTGACTTCTCCGTGTCGGTGAGTGCATAGTATTGTGGCATGGAGGTGATTGGAGGGAACCGGTGTTGCACAGAGCTAAGGTGGCATATGGTGGTTTTTGCAGCCATGGAGGACCGATTTACATCCGATTTACATCCGATTTACATATGGTGACTCACGGCGGCTACATGTCCCATGGCGGTGCAGGAGTTTTGTGTGGAGTCCCCATGTCCCATGCTCTTCTTTTCTTGCCATAATCTCTCCGCACCCCTCTCTTCCGCTCTCCACCGCTCTCTACCGCTCTGCAGCCTGGAGTGCAGGAGTTCTGTGTGGAATCCCCAGGAGAGTACACCCTCGCCATGTCACATGCGTGTGCCTACTACGGCGCCCTCTCTTTCTCCTTCCACACCCGCCAACCGAAGGTATTCCCGTCCTTCCTCAGTTGTTATCTCTTCTGTTTGCATAGGCAACCCCCCCCTCGCCATGTCGCACGCCTGTGCCTACTACGGGGCTCTGTCCTTCTCCTTCCACACCCGCCAACCCAAGGTACTCCCTGTGGTTTTAGTTCAGGAATTACCTATTTGCCATGTCCCACGCCTATGCCTGCTACGGCGCCCTCTCTTTCTCGTTTCGCTAGTAGCGAATCCACGGTCTACTGTGTATTATCCGTCCCCATCTACCTCAACACCTTCCTTTCTGCGCTTTCTGCTGTTTTACTCTTTCTCTGCTCCCTCTGCAGCCCATCCTTCTGACTCCCACGGCCTACCGCGTATCGGGCCCTCTCTTCCTCAACACCTCCCTCCTCCCGCCAACGCTCTCCCACCTCTCTCTTGAAGCAAGCATCGTCGCCCGCATCAGTGGGAATGGCGGCGGGAGTGACAGCTACGGCACTCTCTCAGTGCGCCGCCCACCGTCCAGGGAGGACCCTGTGGCAATCTATGAGCAGGTGAGGCATGGTGAGGTGTGGTGAGGGGTGGTGAGGGGTGGTGAGGGGTGGTGAGGCAACCATCAACACGCGCATCAGAGGGAATGAAGACGGTGGGAGTGACAGCTACGGCACTCTCTCAGTGCGCCGCCCACCATCCAATGAAGACCCTGTGGCAATCTATGAGCAGGTGAGGCATGGTGAGGCGTGGTGAGGGGTGGTGAAGCAAGCATCGTCGCGCGCATCAGTGAGAATGACGGCAGGAGTGCATGTGATTCACCACCAAGCCATTTATTTCCAGGTTACGGCTATGAGGCGAGCACAGGGCTTTCCTTGGATGGTGCAAGTTGCAGCTCTCTCTCACTCCGTCACCCACCCACCATCCAGGGAGGACCCTGCTGAAATCTACCAGCAAGCGAGCAAGAGTGAACCCTGTTGCTGCTGGAGGGAATGGCAGCAGGCATTCGATTCGCCTAAACCTTGTTGCCATTCCCTCTCATCTCACTCCTTCCCTCTCCAACCTTTCTCCACCGCGTGCCACCCCTTTGCACTCCAGTGCGGATGGCTATCAGTCATCTCACTCCTCCCTTTCCCCCTTCTCACTCACCGTGTGGTACATACACACCCATGCTCTCATGTTGGCTCTAGCCACACTGTAATGCAACCTCCACCTCTCCACTCCGCCACTCGCCTTCTTATGAGAATTCTCAAAAGCCACTCCCCTTCTTATCCACACCTCTCCCAGGTTCATCCAATGCTCATGGTTATATTGGAGTCACTTCTGAGAATTCTCAAAAGTCAGGTTCATCCAATGCTCATGGCTGTCAAACTTCTCACTCCTCCCCCCTCCGCTTCTCTCCCACTGTGTGCCACCCTCTGCAGTCGTATTGGCTCGAGCCACACGCCAGTCTCCTGCTCTCCCTCCACTACTCCGGCTTCCCATCCGCACTTCCCACACGCTCATCCACTGCTGATGGCGCTGCTAGTGCTGCTGTTGCTGCTGCTGCTGTTGGTGCCAATGATGGTGGTGGTGCTGCTGATTTTGGTGCTAGGGAGGTAGAAGCAGGAGAGGTTGATTTAGGGGAGGTGGAGTTAGGGGAGGTAGATTTGGGGGACGGGTGGGAGCAGCAAGTGCAGGAGGAGCAAGAGGGCGGCGACCAAATTTCGTCTGCAGGGTGGGTGTGGTCGAGAATGTGAGTGTGAGTGAGAATGTATATGGTGAGTGAGAGTGTGAGTCCGTAGGGTGAGTGCAAGTGCGAGTTCATAGAGTGAGTGTGAGTGGAATAGTAGGGTGAGCCTGAGTGAGTCCTTAGTACGTGTGAGTGCGAGTGAGTGTGAGTGAGTGTGAGTGAGTGTGAGAGTGAGTGAGGGTGTTGTGAGAGTGAGAGAGTCACACAGGTTGAGTGGTTAAGTCTGGGTGAAACTATGAGCGAGTGTCACATTTTGGCATGTCTTTTGGTGCAAGTCGAACTCTGGTTCTCTGTTGCATCTACCCCTATACCCTATGTCCCTCATGCTTCGTCCCTCATCCCGCATCCCTCATGCCTCATGCGCCATGCTCCTCCCCCTCTCCCTCCTCTCACTTCAGCTCTCCACAGGACAGCTACAAGAGGTTTACGGAACAGCCCTCCTTCCCCTTCCCATCGACCCCGCGGCTCCTGTTTTATCCTTCAGCCATTCCTGTGAGTGTAATGGACGTATTACTCATTCCTGTACGTCCTGGGCACGTTTGCTTCCATCTCTGTAAGTCTGTTTACGTCTCTGCACGTCTGTTTACGTCTCTGCACGTCTGTTTACGTCTCTGCACGTATGTTTACGTCTCTGCACGTCTGTTTACGTCTCTGCATGTCTGTTTACGTCTGTTTACGTCTCTGCACGTCTGTTTACGTCTCTGCACGTATGTGTACGTCTCTGCACGTCTTTTTACGTCTCTGTGCGTTTATTTACGTCTCTGTACGTTTGTTTACGTCCCTGTACGTTTATTTACGTCACTGTACGTTTAGTTACGTCACTGTACGTTTATTTACGTCTCTGAACGTTTATTTACGTCTCTGTACGTTTAATTACGTCTCTGTACGTTTGTTTACGTCACTGTACGTTTATTTACGTCTCTGAACGTTTATTTGCGTCTCTGTACGTTTATTTACGTCTCTGTACGTTTGTTTAAGTCTCTGTACGTTTATTTACTTCTCTGTACGTTTATTTACGTCTCTGTACGTTTGTTTACGTCTCTGTACGTTTGTTTACGTCCCTGTACATTTATTTACGTCTCTGAACGTTTATTTACGTCTCTGTACGTTTATTTACATATCTGTACGTTTATTTATGTCACTGTACGTTTATTTACATACCTGTACATTTATTTACGTCACTGTGCGTTTGTTTACGTCTCTGTACCCTTGCCACCCCTTTCCAGCCTATCTGATTGAATTCTGAAAGTTCTCAACAGGGCTTGAATTCAGTTGTCCTTCTACCCTCTTTCAATCCCCTTTCAATCCCCTCCCTCACCACCATCTTTGAATCTCCACTGCATGTAACAGTCCAGCCCTTCAAGTGCCCTCCGCCCCTCCCTCCAGTCCATGCCCGCCCAGGCCTCTTCCTCACAGCCCAACTCAAACTTAACCCCACTCCTTCAAATCCCTCCCCACTCCTCTTAATCCCCTTGCTACACCCCCCTCCTCAGGTAACAGTCCAGCCCTTCAAGTGTCCGCCGCCCCTCCCACCAGTCTATGCCCGCCCGGGCGTCTTTCTCACAGCAACGATCACTCCCGCACTGCCAGGTGTCAACGTCTCAGTGGTTGCTGACTCAGCAAGTGACGCAGGGGGGTGGCAGGCAGGGAAGGTGGTGGGATGGCAGTTGACTGGAGGGTCGAGGAGAGGAGGGGAGGAGAGGAGGGAAGGAGAGGAGAGGAGGGAGGTGGGGGAGAGTGATGGGGAGGAGGGGAGAGTAGCAGAGGCAGGGATGGAGAGGGAGGGTGATACAGAAGAGGTTGTTCTGGGCCCGCTATACGATGATGCCAGTTACCACGTGGAGCTGAATAAGGTGGGTCACCCCTGTGCGATGTGACTGTTCTGACTGCTGAGAGTACTGTACAATGTAACTGTATGATGTTAGTGGCTTGGGCTGGAGAAGGAGGGTGATACAGAAGATGTTGTTCTGGGTCCGCTGTATGATGATGCAAGTTACCACGTGGAGCTGAAGAAGGTGAGTTCTTAGAGTGACAGTGGCTTGGGCTGGAGAGGGAGGGTGATACAGGAGGTTGCTCTGGGTCCGCTGTATGACGATGCACGTTACCACGTGCAGCTGAAGAAGGTGGGTTACCACTGTGCAACGTGACTGTATGTATGATGCCAATGGTTTGGGATGGAGAGGGAGGGTGATACAGGAGGTTGCTCTGGGTCCGCTATACGATGATTCAAGCTACCACGTGGAGCTGAAGAACGTACCGAGGAGGTGCTTTGGGATCGTTGAGTGATTGTGCAAACAGTGTTTTTTTTCACGTGTAACTGTGCAAATGTGATTGTCACGAATGTGATTGTTGCTAATGTTACTGTTGCGAATCTGACTGTTGCAAATGTGACTGTTGCGGATGTGCCTATGCAGGAAGGGTACATCTTCTCGCCCACTGGAGACAACGCTTTCACAGCAGAGAAGGCCGAACCCACACAGGTGAGTGTGGCTGTTGCGAATGGCCCACACAGGTGAGTGTGGCTGTTGTGAATGTAGCGGTTGCAGATGCAACTGGTGTGAATGCGAGTGTGACTGTGCAGGAAGGGTACATCTTCTCGTCCACTGGAGACAACTCTTTCACAGCAGAGAGGGCCGAACCCACACAGGTGAGCATGACTCTACACACCATCTGACTTTTGAGTCGACTCAAAAGTCGCCGAACCCACACAGGTGAGCATGACTCTACACACCATCTGTGACTGCTGTGTCGGTAATAGTAAGACTGTTGTGTGCAGGAGGGAGACATCTTCTTATCTTCTCGTCCGCTCGAGACAACTATTTTGCAGCAGAGAAGGCCGAACCCACACAGGTGAGTGTGGCTGTTGCGAATGCAGCGGTTGCACATGCGACTGGTGTGAATGCGACTGTGTGTGTCTGTGAAAATAAAGAATGTTGCAGGTGTTCTACTCTCCAGCAACGTGACTGTACAACATGTGTGACTGTGCTTGTGGGGATAATAACAAGCCTGTTCTGTGTCATCCACTCTTCAGCACCTATCATTCGCCTGAGCCTCTTCCCCAACATTACATTGGCTATTAGTCAGGACTCAGGTGGCGCTGCTTTTTGAGACGTCTAAACAATCAAGCTATGATTCGCCTGAACCCTTTCCCCAACACGACATACCATATGCATCTTCTCTCTCTCTCTCTTCTACAACATTAGATCGGCTATTACTCAGGCGGTGCTGCATCCCTCTTCTTTCTTCTTTTGAGGCGTCTCAAAAGGCTATTACTCAGGCGGTGCTGCATCCCTCTTCTTTCTACTTTTGAGACGTCTCAACAGGCTATTACTCAGGCGGTGCTGCATCCCTCTTCTTTCTACTTTTGAGGCGTCTCAAAGGGCTATTACTCAGGCGGTGCTGCATCTTTCTTCTTTCTACTTTTGAGACGTCTCAAAGGCTATTACTCAGGCGGTGCTGCATCCCTCTTCTTTCTTCTTTCATTCCTTCAACTCTCAAACATTACTTTCTTGTGGCAGCAAATGTGCAAGTCTGGCAGCAGCAGCGGGGGGGAGCAGCAGGAGTGCAAGTGGCAGTCGTGAATTCTGTACCGTTGAAGCTCGAGGAGTGAGTTGTTTCTTAGGCACCTCAAAAACTGTGCAGTTGTGACTGCAATTCATGTTGCGCCACTGTTGCTGCTGCAAGTACGCATGCACCACAAGTACACGCTTGAGTCAACTTGTTGCTGCTGCAGGTACTCAGGCACCACAAGTATCAGTGCGTCTCAATGTACACTGCGCTTCACACTTGGACAATGTCATACAAATCCGCATGAGTTTGATTTGCAGTGAGATTAATTTCATGAGAGGACACACGATACCGTAGCAGCAGACTGGAGCTGTTGTATTGTATCACTCTGCAACAAGAAGTGTTACTGTGTACACTGGGGACTGAACTGCAGCAGGAATGTGCTCACACAAATCAGTTCCTACTAACACTGCGATAACCTAACCACCATCAAGAGCGCGTGGGTCCCTCTCCCTCCCTCCACTTAACTGCGATCCCCTACTTGGCATCCTAAATCCTAAACACTGCAAAACTCAAACGCGAACCCTACAGGTGCACTGGCATTTGGAAGTTGGACCCCCATTAAACCCCCCATAGAGACACATTTAGTTAGCCTAAACCTGGCTTCATTAGGATTCTGTTCAGCTGCAACCTGTCACTTGTCCCCGAAACACACTTGGCTCCCCCTAAAACCTTTCACCTCGCCGAATCTTCCTACTCGATTGTGTTTCAGCCTGGCAGCAGCAGGCCGCCACTTCTGCTCTGGAGCAGCAGCAGCCATCAGGTAAACCTGCCCCCTTGCCATACTCCCCCCCTCTCCTCCTCTCTCCTGCCCCTGGCACCGGTCACATCGCCCCTTTCAGTCACACCCTCTCCTGATACAATCACAATTCACTAGATCACCAGCAGGAAAGCCCCAGCGGCAGCTCTCAGCCTGGCAGCAGCAGGCCGCCACTTCTCCTCTGGAGCCGTAGCAGCCATCAAATACACCTGGCCGGCCCCTCCCTACACTCACATGCCCCCCACTTCCCCCCTGCAATCACACCTCCTGCTACAATCACACCTGCTTAGATCACCAACAGGAAAGCCCCAGCAGCAGCTCTCAGCCTGGCAGCAGCAGGCCGCCACTTCTCCTCTGGAGCAGTTGCAGCCATCAGATACACCTGCCCCCTCGCTACACGCACACGCCCTTCTCATACAACCACACCTGCTTAGATCACCAATAGAAACGCACCAGCAGCAGCTCTCAACCTAGCAGCAGCAGGCCGCCACTTCTCCTCTGGAGCAGTCGCAGCCATCAGATACACCTGCTTGGCCCCTCGCTACACTCCCTCCCCCTCCTAAGCCTCCCTTACTCAGCACAGCGGCATACAGTAACATCCCCGACTTAATCACGTTCATTTAGATCACCAGGAGGAAAGCCCCAGCAGCAGCCCTGAGCCTGGCAGCAGCAGGGCGCCACTTCTCATCTGGAGCAGTCGCAGCCATCAGATACACCTGCCCCCTCGCTACACTCACACTCATAGCACCATGCAGCGCCTTGGGCCCCTTTCCAGTCACAAATTCGTACAGGTAATACGTGCGTGTAGCGCGTCTGGGTGTAGCAGTGAACGCGCGTTTCGCCAGTACCCGCGAGCCAGGTGGCACGAAGAGATTGGCCACTTCCTCAATCGGGCCAAAATCGGACACGTCTTTGGGTTCGAAGAAGGAAAGTTTTACGTCGGCTGCCCGGCGGTAGATCACCGTGATGACTTCTGATTCGTCCGCGGAGACGAACCGGGCAAGCAGAGGAGATTTTTTTGCCCGGTTTTCGAGGCCCACGGTTGACATGGGCGCGTCGAGTGCCTCTTCGTCTGGCTGCGGCGTAACGTCGACGAAACCGGGTGGTAACCGCACGGCGAAATCCTCGCCGCGCACTCGCTGCCAGCTCGCCACGTCCAGCACTTCGCTGGCGGGACGACGGGAGGCCGGCTGCTGCGCGGAAGTCTGGGGGGAAGGTTGGGCGGAAGGCTGCGCGGAAGCTTGGGGGGAAGGCTGCGCGGAAGGCTGCGCGGAAGGCTGGGTCGGAGTGGTGGAGCTGCTACTGCTACTGCTACTGCTCGGGGTGGTGGTAGTAGCCGGGGAACCCCCGTCTAGGGTTGCTGCTGGTGCTGCCTCTGGTGCCGCTGGCGCTGCTGCTGCTCGTGCAGGTTCTGTTGCTGCGGCTGTTGTAGCTTCTCCTACAATCACGCTCATTTCAATCACGCCAGCCGCCTCGTCAGCGGCGGCGAGCCCCGGAAGCAGCGGCTGCGCGAGGAACGCGGCGGAGATGGCGGCGGTGGTCGCGAGAAGGTCCCTTCGCGTCGCGGCTGCTGATGTGGAGGCAGGGAAGCCTGCGGATGGGGCAGATTCGGACGCAGAATCAAGGGTTGCGCGTGCCTGACCGCACAATTTCGACAATCTTCGCGAAGGAATTGTCGAGCTTCGCGAATGTAACTGGCGAGAAGCGAGCCAGGATCGCGACGACGCCAAGCCTGACGCGCGAGGTTCGGCAGGTGTGGATCGAATTCGACATTGCGAAACTGAATGCAGTCGCGTGTCAGACCCGAGGGGGCTTGCTCCGGGAACCGGGCAGGAAGTCGGCGCGATGCAATGCGACGCGAGGACGGACGCCATTGGAGAAAATAATCGAGAAATGCGGAGAACGATCTAAATCGCAACCGAAGGAGTCACGCAGGTGACAGGGACGACGAATGCGGCCTGCGTGCGCTTCGCTAACTCTTGACGACGCTGCGCGTCGCACGTACTAACGAAGCCTAGACCTAGAACTTGTGTCTGATCAAGAGAGCCAGCATTTTGAATTGGTGAGGGAGGGAAAGGGAGGAGAACAAGCGAAATACGCGTTATAGAAGCACATTTCTTGTTTTGAATGTTTTTTTGGAGTTTCCTGGGTCTATCCCGAATGTTCGAAATCGTAAGTTGCCAGGTAATGAGGTTATCGAAGTATGCTGATGTGGCTTCAATTACTCTGCGTAACCCATGTCACAAGTCCCATCCGACACCTGTCGGCTCCGAAGGTGGCCACATCGTCATAGTACCGCCTCGTCAAGCAACAGGCTCGTGGCGGCTGCTGGTAACCTCGAATCAGCAACGTCGCACTTCTTTCGCTGAAAACTCTCGCAAGATCCGAACCAATCACAGTACATTCGCTGTCAGTACTTCACCGCAAATCTCGTTCTCCCACAGCCAATCCACTCTGCTCCTCCCCATCCCAACCAAATCTCAAATCCCCCCCTTTGCCCTTGCTTGTCATTCTTCAGACTTCAGACTTCAGGCCCTGAACCACTGCAGACCTTCTTCCTGACGTGGCTTGAATTAGTTGCTAGAATAATAAAGCTGTCTCTTGGAGTTTCTTTCTTCAGGCAGCACAATTGCAAGTTTCGCGTAGGCTCGTAAATCCAGGAGTTGAAGATTACAATGGTCTTAGGACGCGTCACCTCTTTCAGTTGTATCAATCGTCTTCGGAACCGTTGCTGACGTAGTATCTTATCGTCTCGTGCTCCTCATTAGCCACTCAGGAACAGTTTTCGTTTCAAGCCGCTTCTGAAACATTTTTTAGCTCATCTCCTCACTCCATACAGCTACTCGCTGCATTTGGAATGCGCCAGTCAGCTTCAGTCAACTTTCGTCAGTGCTCCGTGTCAAACAACCATGAATGTACCTGTTGCCGCCTCCGTTTCTGTTCGCAACTCGCCTCTGGTCCGTCCGCCAACCAACCGCATTTGCCTCGCTCCATCTCCTGGATCCTCTTCCGAACCTTCTCTAGAAGACAGGCAATGCAGAGCACGCCTCAGCTGCCAGCTACAGGGGAATGCCGGAAATTCCGGCAGAGAAGTTTCCGGAAGAATCTGTTTGTGGAATGGCAAGGCGGCTCATTGCACTGAATCTGATTACTCAAGGAGGGTGAGAAGTAGTTCGAGAAGTATTGGGAGAACTGGCATGAGAAGCAGTATGTGGTCGGAAGGGTTCAGAGACGAATGGACAGGAAAAAACGTTTCTTCCAACATGGCGTTACATTCAGCAGCGTTCATTGGTGGGACTAGGAGCGTGAACCGTCGCGCTGCTTCTCGGGTTGTTATTTCGGCATCGGAAGCTTCCAGTCAGGCCGCACCGACTCAGGTCAGTCTCATCTTCGTAAGATTCATGAATATCTACAGTCCAAATGGCCCCACATTGTTGCATTCTTATGGTCAAATAACGTCTCACCATGTGGTAATGACAAGGTTGGTTGACATGTCGTGCAAAAGCCGAAAACACCGATTCCGAAATTTCAGTGGCTGAGCGATCGCGACCCTCGGCAAAGTTGCTCCAATGATAGTTCAGAACAAACAAATGCAAAGTAAGCCTCGTGCGGTGTATCGTAAACCCTCTCTTTATCGTTCAAAACTAGTCCTGCTGCTTTCTTCTACCACTCGGCTTTCGTCAAACCCCCGTACTCCACTCACGTTCATCCGCCTTCTGCAGCGGCAACACGAATCAAGGGAGTCGCGGCATACCCAACAACCAGAGCAACTATCGCAACAGCAGAGGCAGCAATCACAGCCCGAGCAACCGCGGGAGCAGCAGCAGCAGCAGCAGCAGCAGCAGCAGCAGCAGCAGCAGCAGCAACAGGAACAGGTAGAGCAAGGGACGAAGGCGTCGCACAGAAAGAAAGCGGAACAAGGGAAGACCCAACAGTCGCAGGCGCAATGGCAAGCAGCAATCAGCAGCTCAGGCGTGAAATCAGCCGCAGCACCCATGGGAACCGAGCGGCACCTAGCGACAGCCATGCTGTTCCTCGTAGCCCTCTCCGTGTGCCTCTGGCTGGACGTGAAAACCGCAATGGACCTGCTTGTATCGGGTACGCGGGCGTTCGTGCAGCTGACAGCCGTTGGATTGGGGCTCAAATACATCTTCACCGTTGACAGCGCGCACCCCGTTTTTGTTGCTGTTGCAGTCATGGTAAGAGCCTATGCAAGGGGGATTGAATGGGGAAGGGGGAGTGAATGAATGTGGGGGGGTTGAACTTGGGGGGGAATGAATGGGGGGAAGGAGGGGATAAACTTGGGGGAGAGGATGAACGTTGGAGGGAATAAGTGGGGGGGGAGGTGGGGAGAATGAACGTGAGGGGGAATAAACGTGAGGGGGAATAAACGTGAGGGGGAACGAACGTGGGGAAGAATGAACGTGAGGGGGAATGAATTGAACGTGAGGCAAGACGTAACGTGGGCTTCACTTTTCTAAATTGTTGACGATGATGTCACTCTTTTACCAGAACCTCTCCCCACCATTCCCCCCTCCCCATTCCCCCCCTCCTCCCCTCCCCCTCACCCTCCCTTCCCCCACTCCCCCCTCTTGGCCTCGTCACCCTCACATACACCCCTCGCATTCCAACCTGCCACCGCACTTACACTCCCACTTAACCCTTTCCCCTATGCTCGTTTTTTTATATTTTAGATCGTTATGCTCGCCCCCACTACCAATCCGGCTATCCCGTTCCGCTTCTCTTTGCTCACTCTCTTCTCCTCTCGATTCCCTTATCCCCCCCCAGATCGTGATAGCAGCCTACACAGCTTCCCAGAGAGCCAAGTCAGTGCCTCGAGGCTTCTGGGTGGCGCTGCTGGCGGTGGCTACTGGCACTGTCACTGCATTGTCGCTCTTAGTCAGCTTGCAGGTGAGAAATACAGTCTAGGACTTACTGTCAGGGTTATAGGGGTATTAAGAGAGTGATTAGCGAGGCTTCTGGGTGGCGCTGGTGGTGGTTGCTACTGGCACTGTCGCTGCTCGTTACCCTACAGGTGAGAAATGGGATGATGAGCTGGGATTGTGGGTGGCGGTGGTGGCAGTAGCTACTAGCTCTGTGAATGTGCTCTGACCTCGTCAGATTGCAGGTGAGAATAGCCCTAGGCCTACAGTCAGAGTTTGATCGGGGTATTGAGGGATGGCATGCGCATGACGAGGTGGGCTCGTGGGTGGTGCCTGGGGTTGTGGGTGGCGCCTGGGGTTGTGGGTGGTGCCTGGGGTTGTGGGTGGTGCCTGGGATCGTGGATTTCGCCTGGGATCGTGGGTGCCGCCTGGGGTCGTGGGTGGCGCCTGGGGTCGTGGGTGGCGCCTGGGGTCGTATCCACTGGCATGGTGACCGAACTGTCTTCTCGTCAGCCTACATGCAAGACTTGCTTCAAGCATGGGATGCACAAGAGAGGCGCAGCAGCGGGGCGAGCCGGAATTCTTACACTGCAGCCGGCATCCGTTTTTGTCCTTCAAGAATTCTCAAGAAACAGATTCAGAGGGGTGAGCTGGAATTCTTACACTGCGACCAGCATCCGTTTCTGTCCTATTTTTTACCTTGTACTTTTTTCGCAGGTGGTTCGGCTGCGGCCGCGGTTTGTGATTCCCATCGGGGGCATTGTGGTGGGCAGCAGCATGACCATTGCTGCCAACACCATGCAACGACTCGCGGATGACTTTCAGCAGAGGAGGGGGCAGGTGGGTTTTGAGTGATCAGCTGTAAACAGAAGTAGGGAAAAAAAAACAAAAAAAAAACAACAACAACAAATTGCTGCCAGTGCCATGCAGTGACTTGCTGACAACCTTACGCAGAGGAGCAGACAGACGAGGAAGGTCACCAAAAGAGATGCATCATGACTAGCTCGACAAGAGGCTTGCTTGCGTAGCAAAAAGAGCCGGGAGAATGAGCAAGAGGGAAGGAACAACATGGCGTGCCAGAGTCCCTGTAAGAGTCACAGCCTTACTTACTGCTGTGTCAACACTCCCCTCACGAGCTCTCAAAACGCCGTTAAAGAAACAGGGGCAATGGGCAGGAGCGAAGGAAGACATGGCACATCAGAGTACAACACACGGCCCCACTGCCATGCCGTGCTATAGTCCCTCATTCCACCTCCACAGTATGCCAGTTTGGGGCACGAGTTTTCTGCGCAAGGATGTTTTGTGCAGCACCCCTCCTTTACTGCATAAGTCCCATTACTCCTCCACCTCCGGTTCAGCTTGAACCACGACTTCACATGCCGCTTTGCACCTCATTCCTACACCCCTCCATTTTGCACCCCACCCCCATACTCCAACCCCACTCCTTCCCACCCATTCCCACCGCCTACTCCGTTCTCCACCCCCATTCTCTCCCATCTCCAATTCATCTTGAAACACCTTGATGCTCCTCTCTTTCCGGCTTCTCTCGTCCCTTTTTCACCATAACTCCTTTCTCACGCCATCCTTCTCCCCTTACCCAATTTCTCTAATTCCCCCCACCTCCCCTTTCCAGCTAGAAGCAGCACTAGCCCTGGGTGTAAGCCAATGGGAGGCCTCCCTTTCCCTCATCAAATAGGCAGTAGCCACGGGATTCGGCCCCACTATAGTGGGGAGCTCCCAGGCTCCATGACCGGCATGATCATGGGGGTCCCCTAAAACATCAATCAATCTGCAAATGGCACTCTTATTCCTCCATCCCCAACCCCTTCTCCTCTCCTTCCCACCCTCCCTTTTCTGCCCCCTCCAATCCAGCTAGAGGCAGCATTGGCCCTGGGCGCTAGCCAATGGGAGGCCTCCCTTCCCCTCATCAAACGGGCAGTAGCCGTGGGTTTCGGCCCTACAATAGACTACACCAAGACCGTGGGGATAATTCAGCTCCCAGGCTCCATGACTGGGATGATTATGGGGGGGGCTTCCCCTCAGGAAGCAGTTAATCTGCAGATCACCATTACGTTTCTTTTGTTGGGGGCGCTTTCGCTGTCGTGTATTGTTTCGGCTCTTTTAGCCGCCCCCCAGTTCTTTCATAGCCACGCACAGCTGTTAGAAACTTGGTGAGATTTCAATTGGATGTAGGATCTTGTAGATTGAGAAGGTGGGCATGTCAAGCACGCTTGTTGAACCACACCAAATTATTATCAAGTAGCGAGCAGCATTAGTTCGTAAGAAACATTTTTTTTGTACAGTTGACAAGGCTGCTCATGCCGCGCCGACTTTCCACACCTCACTAACTATCCTCACTAACTACAGCAGCTGAACAGATAAGGTTTGCCAACTGCCGTCTTAATCCGGGCACTCTGATTGGTTCGCGAGCTCACGACTTCAGTAACCACAGTCAAGAATCAAGATCATCCTCCTCACCACAGATGCCACCGACAGCACCCTGCTGCACCCGACAGACGATCGATGAAGGGAGGGGAGGGGAGTCGGGACTCGGGACGCTTTCATAAGGCTGAACAAAAGTGAGTTTCACGACAGCACTTTTTTCGGATCCGGCGAAAACGATGGGCTGGAATGATTTGGGATGGGTTGAGTAGTGTTGGCAAGGGTAGGATTTCATGGAGGGTGTGTGAATCTGTTATTTCATAATCCTTCATCATGCTAACTAAGTTTATGGCTGACAGCATTTGTTCAGAGCTCTGATGTGACTAAACAGCGTTTCTCCTAGCCTCATGTTTCTAACATTAGATGGAAGGAAGTGCTTTCTTTCTCATCCTGAGAGGACGACGCGCGAGCCTAAATTTCTTGACTCGCATAAGCTCGCGTTCCATTATGAAGTAGGAATTTAAGGTCGTGGGCAGCGTAGGGTCTCGTTCAAGATTCGGAATTCGCACAAACCCGTTCTCACCAGTCGCGTCGTCGTCGCAATTTCCCCGGCGTAAGACACATCGTGTGCTGGATGACACGACAGAATCGCAAGCATATGACTTGTACGTTCGCAGTCGCACCGCAGCAGTCGCGCAGTCGCACGGCAGTCGCACGGCTCCTCGAATTGCCGTTACGCGGCGGGGAGACCGACCATCCCGCTCCAATAGGCGTTTCACCTTCGCTCGCAGTAAGAAATTAAGGGATCGACGACTACAAATTCAGCAGCTACAAATGGAGCGACCACTAACGCAGCAAAAATCATTACTAGGACTGCACGAAAGGCCAAGGAGAATGTTCGCAGCTCCCACTGTAGCAGGAACAGCTGCGAAATTTACAGCCGCAGCACCTTCGTCAGCAATTTCGCCAGCAAAAGCCGCATGTGCAGAATTTTCCTTCCAAGTTCATTATCCTCGTTACAAGCCAGCCCCGCGAGGTTCTCATGACCAATCAAGCGTGTTGAACGCACAAGGACTGCTAGTGGGTAGTGAATCAGCATCAGCGGTCAGTGCGACATTGGCCTTGAGGAGATTAAGTCGTCTTACATTCAATCCGTGTTCCCGGGGGGGAGATGTCGCCGTGAATAGCGCTGTGAGAAACGCGTCATGGACCACCACCACCTCTCAGTCGACCAGGGACGGCAATGATCATGGGAAGACATGGGAAACCTCTGAAGCCGGGGCAATGAATAGGCCTTGTGCTTTAGCGAGTGACGCTATAGCGAATGATGCTATAACGAGTGATGAATTCCTAGTATCTGAGGCCTCGGGGACTTATTTTATGGGAGCTGAGAACGATGCAGCCTTAGATGCATCAAGAGCGGCGCAGCAGTGCTTAGCGGCTAGAAGAGATGGAGTGGGGAGACGCTTAGCTAAAAGGTTGGGAGTTGAACGATACTTCACCAGAAGCCTGGGGATTGGACAACAGTACACGGGAGATAGCAGTAGACTACAAATAGGCACTCGACTTAGACACGATACACTGTTTCAAGACACTTTTCTTAGAGGAGGTACACTTGTCAACACAACCGGCTCGGGGGCGCAAGGCAGCGCGTACAATTCGAGGATACTTCTAGAGTCGACCCAAAAATCACCCCAAATCGGAATGTGGGGATACGGTTCTGTGGGGTATGAGAGGCATGCTGCAACTGCAGTGATGTTTCTGTTGGCGCTTTCGATCTGCCTCTGGATCGACTCCAACACTGCAGCGGATGTGCTTGTAGCGGGGATAAGGGCGGCTGCGCAGCTCTCAGCCGTCGGATTCGGGCTTAAGTACATCTTCGCCGTTGAGAGCTGGGAGGTGGCATATTGTGGAGTCGTTATCATGGTGAGTGAGTGGCTTTTGAACCGTCTTAAAGCCCTTGGTCAGTCTCTTATCTGTCGCTTCTACTTCCTTCACCAGCCCCCCGCTCCCTCTCTGTTCTCGCAGCACTCCTTCTCTACCCCGTTCTTCACTATCTTCTCCGCGTCCTGCTCTTCCCGTCCAATCACAGGTTCTGGCCTGACAGACGCTGATAGGGTAACCAGGTTACAAATGGCTGCCTCGAACAAATCACACTCCCTCACCGTCCTTCTTTCCGGCAGCTCTTCTGAGCTCATAGTAACCCACTGTAACCCACAGGTGCTGGCAGCAGCACACACGGCGTCTAAGAGAGCTATTCGCATGGCTGGGGGATTTTGGAAGGCTCTTTGGGCAATACAAGGCGCCGTCACACTCGCACTTTTCCTTCTCGCGCTTTTCACATCTGAACCCTTCTCAACCGCTCTAACCCACAGGTGCTGGCAGCAGCACACACAGCGTCTAAGAGAGCCAAGCGCGTGGCTGGGGGTTCCTGGGTGGCGCTCTTGGCAATAGGAGCCGCTGTCACACTCGCCTTTTCTCTCCTTGCAGCCTTGCAGGTATGTGTGCCATAGATTGCGAGGTAAGGGGGTGGGCGCTCTGGGCAATAGGAGCCGCCGTCACACTCGCCTTTTCTCTCCTTGCAGCCTTGCAGGTATGCGTGCCATAGATTGCGAGGTAAGGGGGTGGGCGCTCTGGGCAATAGGAGCCGCCGTCACACTCGCCTTTTCTCTCCTTGCAGCCTTGCAGGTATGTGTGCCATAGATTGCGAGGTAAGGGGGTGGGCGCTCTGGGCAATAGGAGCCTCCGCCACTTTGCCTTCTCGCTGCTCGCGACCTTGCAGGCATATGCATGCCATCGAAATATGGGAAGGCTTGGGGAATTCTGGATTTTGAGGGGGTGGTTAGTTGTGAGCCGCACCTCGTGGTACCCATCCACCTCCCTCCCTCACCGCACTACACCCACCCCACCGCCCTCATCATCCTTGCATGTTTACCCCCCTGTCCTCAGGTGGTGGCATTGTGGAGGGCCGTGGTTTGTGATTCCCATTGGGGGCATTGTGGAGGGCAGCAGCATGACCACGGCTCATCGCACCGCACTGCATCGCACCACACCATACCTGACCTCACCGCACTGCACCCATCACCTTTCTTCCCACTTCTCCCCCAGGTGGTTCCCCTGCGACCAGGGTTTGTGATTCCCAATGCACGCCTTGCGGTGGACGGCAGCGCAGCATGGCCATGCTTTAACGCACCGCACCGCACTTCACCCCATTGCACCTATCATTCTCCTTCAGGTGGTTCCCCTGCGGCCAGGGTTTGTGATTCCCATTGCGGGCCTTGTGGTGGGTGGCAGCAATGTAACCCCCCTCTTTCATCCACTTTATTCCCCCCATCACCACACTGCACCGCACCACACCCATCGCAGGTGGTTCCCCTGCGACCAGGGTTTGTGATTCCCATTACGGGCCTGGTGGTGGGCAGCAGCATGACCATTGCAGCCAACACCATGCAGCGACTGGCTGACGACTTTCAACAGAGGAGGGGAGAGGTGGGTTCCTATCTTGTAGCACGGGGAATCGTAGTTGGAATAGAAGGGCTGTAGCAGGAAGGCGGCAGCATGACCATTGCTGCCAACACCATGCAGCGACTGGCTGACGACTTTCAACAGAGGAGGGGAGAGGTGGGTTCCTATCTTGTAGCACGGGGAATCGTAGTTGGAATAGAAGGGCTGTAGCAGGAAGGCGGCAGCATGACCATTGCTGCCAACACCATGCAGCGACTGGCTGACGACTTTCAACAGAGGAGAGGGCAGGTGAGGCCTTAGGCTGTAGCACAGGGATTTGTAGCAGGAAGGGCTGTAGCAGGAAGGGCTGTAGCAGGAAGGCGGCAGCATGACCATTGCTGCCAACACCATGCAGCGACTCGCTGACGACTTCCAGCAGAGGAGAGGGCAGGTGGGTGGGTTTGGGTTTTACCCTTACCTTGGTGTAACAGAGGTGAGACCATTGCTGGCCATTGCTGCCAACGCCAGCAGCTACTCGCTGATGATTTCCAACAGAGGGAGAGGCCAGGTGGGTTGTGACTGGTTTTGAGACGTCTCAAAACCAGGTGGGCTGTGACTGAACAGCTGTAACCTGTGACATTAGAGGCTGTAGCAGGAAGGGCTGTAGCATTGTGAAAGGCAGCAGCATGACCATTGCTGCCTGCCAACACCATTAGAGGCTGTAGCAGCCCCCGCCTCTCTCCCACTCCTCCGAACAACTTAAGCAGCAGTCTTCGCCCCAACTCTGTCTGAGATGGACTCACCAGCTTGATTCAAGTCCCTTTGCTCATCCCTTTCTTTTCTTCCCTTCTCCCACCCTCCATTCTTCTGAGCAACGTTGTTTGTTCTAGCAACGATGTGTTTAGGCGACATAAAGATCGCCTGTAAGTTCCAGACCAGACTAGCCAATAAGGAGGCGCCCTGCCCCATCCCCTTGTGTGAACGGCCATGGCATGGCAGAGGGCTTTGGACTGGCTGTAAATCGTTTTTTTTTTCCTACTTAATTGTGGCCTTAGATTGAGTAATGACTCGACTTGCGGTGTGATTCACCTTCCTTGTACCATTCGTTTTCTTCTCTTCCTCCCTCTCACCCATGTGGAAGCATCACTAGCTCTAGGCGCAAGCCAATGGCAGGCCTCCCTTCCCCACATTCAACAGGCTGTAACATTGGTTTTGGAGGGCAAAAGTTTGTCGTGTGACATTCACACACTCGAACTAAGCTCCCTTGTTTCATCCCTGTATTCTCGTCCCTTCTCCCACCTCCTTCACGCCCAGGTGGAAGCGGCACTAGCTTTAGGAGCAAGCCAATGGCAGGCCTCCCTTCCCCTCATTCGAAAGGCCGTAGCAGTGGGCTTTGGGCCGACACTAGACTATATAAAGACCTACGGTGTGATTCAGCTTCCTGGCGCTATGGTGGGGATGCTTATGGGGGGGATGCCGCCGCAAGAAGCAGTTAATCTGCAGTTAACTGTAACTTTCTTTTTGTTGGTGCCCATGGCGCTCACCACTGTTGTCTCGGCGGTTTTGACTGCCCGAGGATTTTTTCCTGCCCCTGGGCAGCTGATAGAGGAGCCATGCTGCTGAAGCATGGAAATTCGTTACTACGGTAAGTGTCGATGACTGCTTTGTGCTCAGGAAGTGCTCATATAACAACTACAGTATTCTTGTGGTTACCGTATGTTGTTCAAGATGTTGCTGATTTGAAAGCTGTTTTATTGAAGGGGCGAAGTGTTTGCTGGTTCTACTACATTCAAGCTAAACAGAACCGCTTATCTTCCAATGACCCCAATTAGCAATTAATGACATTGAGATTGAGATTGAGGTGTACAGGCTTGCAAAGAAGTCGTCAATTCCCAATGAGTGAGGAGGGAAGAGAGCTCTGGTATTGGTTGCAGTGCCACCATACTGTACGCACTAGTTCCCTCCAAGTGTTACACATGAGTTCGTATTATATTGTAGGATAGTTGCAAGCTCAATGCAGCCATTCCGGAACAGTCAAATGCACAGAGCAGAGGGTAATGATAATAAAAAGAGAGTACAGCAAACCAGCCACTGAAATCACCACACCACACACCACACACGTTGATCAACAAAATCATACCACTACGTAAGCAAGAGGTCAAGGAGGAGAAAAAGATGAGAGAAGGAAAGAAAGGAGAAGGGAGGAAAGGAAGGAGAAGGAAGGGAAGGAGAAGGAAAGAGAGGAGTCCTTCCTCTAGTGCAACTGAACAAGAGGAGCAGGTGGCCGAAACAAACTGCTTGAAAGCAGCTCATATTCAACCTTATTCTAGCTTATGAAAAGCTTATTGTGGGTTGTCGTCCCTCCCACCCCCTGGGCTCTGTCCCACCCTGCCCATCCACGTCTGTCCGCTTCACGCAAAAGTCACCTGTTGCCCCACCCTGTCAATCCATGCCTGTCCGCTTGTCATCTGCAGCAGCCTTCTGCCATCTACCACATAGTACTACGTTCCCGAAGCACGACAGTCGTTCAAGTGGAAAGCCCTGCAAAAAGCATGGGAAAAGGAGATGCGGAGACTGGAGCATCAGTTGTGTGTTACCAATAATTCTGGAAGTTTGTGCATCGCTTTTGCATTGGCTTTAAACTCACGTGAGTCTCGGACATCCTGTTGCTCCCTAAGTCACATCCACCATCCCCTCCTCCTCAGCCCACTGCCCTTCCTCCTCGCTCCCATCACTCTCTCCCTCCTCGCCCTCCTCGCCCTCCTCTTCTGCCAGCAGCACCCGACCATCCTCCTCCATCTCTTCCTGCATGTCTGCCTCCTCCTCGTCCTCCTCACTCTCGCCCTCCTCGTCTTCCTCTCCTGCCAGCAGCATCCTACCACCCTCCTCCTCCTCCTCATCCTCCTCCTCCTCCTCACCCTCAGAATCGTCAAGCTCGGCTAAAGCCCGTCCCTCCTGCATGTATGCCTCCTCCTCTTCCTCCTCATCCTCCCCATTCAAATCCCCAGAATCGTCTATCTCTGCCAAAGCCCTGCCCTCCTGCAAACCCCCCTCCCCCCCCTCCTCCTCCTCTTCCTCCTCATCCTCCCCATTCAAATCCTCAGAATCGTCAATCTCTGCCAAAGTCCTGCCTTCCTGCATCTCTCCCTCCCCCTCCTCTTCCTCCTCCTCATCCTCCCCATTCACGTCCTCAGAATCGTCCATCTCGGCCAAAGCCCGCCCCTCCTGCATCTCCCCCTCTTCCTCATCGCTGAAATCCTCTTGCTCCTCCTGAATCCCCTCCTCTGCCTCCTCCGCCTCCTCTCCCTCCTGCATCTCCGCCTCTCCCTCCAAAGCACCATCCTCTTCAAACTCTCCTTGCTCTGCCAGCACCCGGCCCTCCTCAACCTCCTCTCCCTCCTGCATCTCCGCCTCTCCCTCCAAAGCACCATCCTCTTCAAACTCTCCTTGCTCTGCCAGCACCCGGCCCTCCTCAACCTCCTCTCCCTCCTGCATCTCCGCCTCTCCCTCCAAAGCACCATCCTCTTCAAACTCTCCTTGCTCTGCCAGCACCCGGCCCTCCTCAACCTCCTCTCCCTCCTGCATCTCCGCCTCTCCCTCCAAAGCACCATCCTCTTCAAACTCTCCTTGCTCTGCCAGCACCCGGCCCTCCTCAACCTCCTCTCCCTCCTGCATCTCCGCCTCTCCCTCCAAAGCACCATCCTCTTCAAACTCTCCTTGCTCTACCAACACCCGGCCCTCCTCAACCTCCTCTCCTTCCTGCATTTCTTCTTCCTCTTCCTCCTCTGCCTCCGAAACACCAGCCTCATCGGAATCCTCTTCCTGCTGCAGCACCCTGCCCTCCTCAACCCCCTCCCCCTCCTGCATTTCCTCCTCTTCCTCCTCCTCAGCATCCTCGTCCCACTCACCCTCCTCCGCACCGTCGTCTTGCTCTACCAGCACCCTTCCCTCCTCAATCCCCTCTCCCTCCTGCATCTCCTCCTCCTCAGTCTTCTCAGCATCCTCATCCCACTCACCCTCCTCCTCACCGTCGTCCTGCTCCGCCAGTGCCCTCCCCTCCTGCACCTCCCCCTCCTCCTCATTCTCTTCCTCCTCTGCCTCTAGATTACCAACACCCTCGGACTCTGCTTGCTCCTGAAGCGCCCTGCCCGCATCAACCTCCTCCCCCTCCTCCTCATTCTCTTCCTCCTCCTCTGCCTCCAGATTACCAACCTCCTCGGACTCTCCTTGCTCCTGAAGCGCCCTTCCTTCCTCAATCCCCTCTCCCTCCTGCATATCCCCCTCATCCTCATCCTCATTCTCTCCCTTCACTTCCTCCTCCAACACCCTCCCCTCCTCAACCCCCTCCTCCGCATCCTCCATCTCCCCCTCTACCGCCTCCGCATCCCCTATCTCCCCTTCTTCCGCCTCCTCATTCCCCGTCTCTCCTTCCTCCTCTGCCAAAAAGCGGCCTTCCTCAGTCCCCTCTGCGTCCACCTCTCCCCCATCTTCCGCTTCCACCACGCTTTCTTCCGCCTCTTCCGCAGCAGCACTTGCGCGTTCCCACGCGCCCTCCTCCGCCTCCCCCGACTCTTCCGAAGCAAGCACTCTCCCCTCGTCAAGATTCTCCGCCTCTCCGCCCTCCGCCGTCCCGTCTCCGCCCTCCGCGCTCGCCTCTTCAAGCACGCGCGCGGAAAGAGTCTCCGCGGCGGAAAGCGCCTCCGGTCCGCCCTCCGCGCTCGCCTCGTCAAGCACGCGCGCGGAAAGCGTCTCCGGGGAGCCGTCGGCGCCCGCTGCGGAAATCAGCGCCCTCCGCGGCGGCGGAGCGTCGGCGGAAGCCGCCGCCGGCACACCCCGCAGCGCGTAAAGACTCGGCGCGTCGGCGGAACCCGCGGCCGACATCAGCGCCCGCCGCGGAAGAGAAGGGAAGGCGGCGCGCGCGGGGTTGACGACGAGAACGACGAAGAACAAGAGGAGGACGAGGCACGGTGCGCGGGGGCTTCGGCGCGCCATGGCTGATGCCGCCAGAATCCGCTTTATTAGGCGCCTCGAGATCGGGCTAGTTCGAACGTTGGCTGATGCTGCTGACCGGGTGACGCTAGCGGCGGGGAAATAGCCGCGACGGCAGCGGGGATACGCGGCGGGACGGTTCAAGTGTACTTTGGATACTGCGAGGTCGGGAGAACAGCGGCTCCTGGAAAGCTATTGTGCTGATGGACTTTCAAAGTTGTCGGATGGACGGACGGACGGACGGACGGACGGGAGAACTCGAGAGTAAGTAGCACTACTTGGGACAGATTTGGAACTGCGTGGCTCGAGCTGGTTGCCACCTCGTATTTATGCTCTCGTCGCGACTCGGCCTCTCTGCTACTACTACCAGTCATCCATTCCCGAGCGGAAGCAACTCTCGCGCAACCGGCCCCCCCTCCTTCCTTCCGCCTGCGGTTGCGCGAGTGCGCATCATTGGCGCAATCACTGCGGAGTTGCGCCAATGATGCCGCATGCGGGAGTGCAAGGCACCACGAGCATCGCACAGATTGAGTGCTTTTTCACGAGATGCGCCACGATGATCCAGGATCGTCGCGCGTCGCGATGGGTTCATTTGGGCGGAGTCAGCTCGCGCAAAGCTGAAGCTGCACCGCCGACTTGTGCGGAACTTCCCACTCCCGACGCCCCTCCGGTTTTCTCCCCACCCCTTCCCGCCCACCAACCCCATTTTCACGCAGCGCCCCGGCACCGCCCCAAAGCCGAACGCAGACCGCTGCACCACCGAAGCGCACGGCATGATAATTGGTGCGGTGCGATTAGAGATTGTGGCGCCGATATAATTACCAATTGCTATGCCCTTGGCCTAGGCAGTAAAGACACCGTGATGCGCGCTGCCGTCTCTCCGTGGAACCTTCGCGAGATGAGGGCTGAACGAAAAACGTGGAACGAGACTACCCAATAATGGTAATGTGGGAGTGAAGATTCGCGCTGCAGTACGCAAACCGAGGTGGCATCAGCCGGCTTGGTGCGGTATAATGCTGCGACGATTGTGGGTCTAGGAGCTGCGAGAAATGCAGCGGCTCTGGAGTCGAAACCTCACAAAAGCAATGGTGATGCACAGGGGGGGGTTGTTGTCGAGATTATGGAAACAGAACGGCCTCTCTGATAATTGTTGAGCTTGAAATGTGGGGAGGAGGCGCGGGTTGCAGTGCAGCAACCAGTAACAGAGTTTCGCTGACGAATGTCGCAAAAGTGGTTGAGAGGTGAAGAAGAGGCGCACGAAGAATGAAGGGCTGAGTTTCGTGAAATGAGCGACCGCCGATCGCGTCGCGTGCATTTCAGCCCTGGATCGCATCGCGTGGAACGGGAGGATGCAGCTGGCATGGGTGGGGCAACAATAATCGTGGATGCGGAAACTGCGGATTGTCATCCGCGATTTGAGCTCCTTACAGTAGTGCCTATAGCAGCCAAAAGCTGATCAAGGTCTTAATGACGGATGACAAACCACAGTATGCGGAATGTATATATGACGGATGATAGACTTTTAGCGAAGAAATTGTACCGAACTACACTCGCCCAAACCATGGTGCCACACACACACACAGACAAGTTGAAGCCAACAGAACCACTCCCAACCGCGAGCCACTCCCAAACCATGGTGCGAGCAAGCCTCAGGCAAGATGAAACCAACAGAACCACTCCCAACCGCGAGCCCGGTAAGTTGAATACCGACATATACCGGACTGAAAAGTTCTGGCATGTTTAGTCATACTGATGCATATCCTATAACTGCAGTTCCTATCCTAGCCTAGCCGGCCATGGTCCCCCTCTAATGTTACTCGCAGGGTAGTTAAAATTTTAGTTAAATCGTTATCTGGCAAGAATAAGACAGCCTCCTTGTATTGCGCCAGCAAGCGTCAGCCTTTTTCTCTATGTGCCGGCAAGGTTTTCCTTGTTGATTTATCCGTCATTGATGGTAGCTGCATATGTGCTTTCCCCGCATTGTTCTGACATGCGGCCGTACGGCGAGTGACCGCGGATTGATCTTAGTAAATCGTGGCCGTCCGTGCACGACATATGCCCCCCCGGCCATTCCCCTCGCAGCCAATGGCGTCGTTCGGCGCGTTTCTCACCGCGTTTCTCGCAGCAGGGTTGCTAGGAACGCTCGTGCTCGCACCGTTTAGCGATCTCTCACACGCGCCGCTGAAAGAATCTCCGTCGGAGCATGGCGTGATCACGGTAGACGCGACTCGAAAGTCTCCTTCGGAACATGGCGGCGCGATCATGCCGGGAGCGGCGATTAGGAGAATAACGGAACTGCTAACCTCCTCAAGGTATTTCGTGTCTCCAGTTAAATTCTTGGGAGCCTAAAAATCAATTTGCCAGCCTCCTCAAAGACTACTCCCTCCCCCGTCCCCCATTCACCCCCGCACCCCCCCCCCCCCACACCCCCCCGCCCCTCCCCCCCCCCCCCCCCCCCCCCCCCCTCTCCCCCTCTCCCCCCCCACCCCCCCCCCCTTTCCCTTTCCCTTCCTCTGTTGGGTGGAGGAGCAGCAGAGATGTTTTCCGAGGCGCCTCACAAACAGCCCCCTTTCCCTTCCCTAGTTACTCTCCTCCCCTTGTGCCTTCCTTTGTCCCCCCCTCTTTCCCCTCCCCTCCCCCCCTCCTTCCCCCCTCTTTCTTACTTTTGGTCTTCGTCGCTCCGTCCCTTCTAGTGTCTCCCCCCTCTCTTCCCCCACTCGCCCCCCTCCCCCGGTCCTTTCTTCTCCTTCTTCCACCCACCCCCACCCCACCCCCCCTCCCCGTTTCAGCCTCTCCTCCCCCCTCTCTCCCCGTCCCTTCCTTCGACCCCGGCATCCCTTTGAGTCGACTCAAAAGTCCTCCCCCCTCTCTCCCCGTCCCTTCCTTCGACCCCGGCATCCCTTCAGATATTCCACACATCCCGCTTTACAATGCGATGCAGGGTAAGGTGGATTTCGCAGCAAAAAGTATTTCCGAGGTCAACCCTTCAACTCCCCCTTCCATCCCTTCAGATATTCCACACCACACATCCCGCTTTACAATGCGGGGAATGGTGGGAGGAAGAGCAGTAGATAGTATTGCTGAAGCGCCTCAAATGCAGCCTCTTTTCCCCACTCCCACTCCCACTCCCACTCTCACTCCCACTCTCACTCCCACTCTCAGATTCCGTGCATATCCGTTCATTTATCACAATTCTGGGTAAGACGGGAGGAGCAGAGAGTATTTCCGAGGCTCCTCCTCCTCACAATCACGCCTCCCCCTTTCTCTCCCCCTTTCTCCCCCCCTCCCACCCCTTCCCGATATTCCTCTCATATCCTTCCGCACAATGCCGGGAAAGGGTGAGGGAGCAGCAGAGGTGCTTGGACGAGCTTCAGCGACTAAGGAAATGGCGAGAAGGTGAGCAGACAGCAGGGTATAAAGGGTTCTGGTTTTTGAGTTTTGGGTTTCTCAGTCGTTTTTGTTCGGTTCTGTATTCTCCTCCTCCTCGTGCTTCTGTTCCCTCTGCTGTTATTCCTTCTGTTTTTCGTATTACCAACCGGTTCACCACTTATGTAAGCATCCACATGTATCGAATGCAATTCCGCCATTTTCAGAGCTGGGAGCTGACGCAGCAGCAACTGCCAGCTCAGCTGCGCAATCTTATCCTTCCACGTCACCTGCCGCGTCAGCCACCAGCGCTGCAGCTGCAACCCGTAGAGGGACGGAGGAGCTGCAAGTGCTCAGTAGTAGCAGTAGTAGTTTGCGTGCCGCCACTCGCTCCTTGCTCAGTTTAGACGAGAGGAGACACAAAGAATTTAGCATCAGCAGCGGCAGTGGCAGCAGCCGCGGCGGCGTTGGTAGCAGTAACAGCAGAAGGAGAAGCATGCAGAGCCATCTCGATGGCCCCCCAGCAGCAACAACAACAACAGCCGCAGCAACCATGTCAGCAGCTGCAGCAGAATTAGCCTCTGTGCGCAGGCGGCTGCATCGAGATGGCATGCAGAGGCATCTCGACGCACCCCCCCCAGCAGCAACAAGAGCCGCAGCAGCAGCTGCAGGAGAACCAGCCTCAGTGCGGCGAATGCTGAGTCACACGTACAGAACTCCCAACCTCAACCCTAACGCCGCCTGCGCCGAGAATGAGACGAGCGTTGCCGCCCTCAGAGCCCACCTGGCCGCCAAGGCGGTGCAGCTGCGGGCGACTCAAGTGCAGATCGAAGAAATGCAGGTGAGGGGAACTCTTTAAACCTCTTAAACCTCAACCCTGAGACAGGCGGCCGAGACTATCCATCCTAGTCAGGACTCAGGACCCACCCACCCACCTGGCAGCCAAGGCAATGCAGCTGGGGGCGACTCAAGTGCAGACCGAGGAGACGCAGGTGACTTTTGAGTCGACTCATAAGTCACCTCGTGAGGAGGGACTATCACCAGCAGGTAACGTCTAAACCCGAAACCCTGATTCCAACCTGAAACCGTGAACCCCCTGAAACCTCCTGTTCCAAGCCAAGGCTATCTGCCTGCCAAGGCGGTGCAGCTGAGGGCCACTCAAGTGCAGATAGAGGAGATGCAGGTGAGGGAAACTGTGAAACTCTACAAACGTCTTAAACCCTCAACCCTGAGCCAGTCAGCTGAGACTATCCATTAGTCAGGACCCACCCACCCACCCACCTGGCAGCCAAGGCGGTGCAGCTGAGGGCGACTTAAGTGCAGATCGAGGAGATGCAGGTGAGGGTTGACTACTAGCGAAGTAATTCTCAAGCTTTAAACCTCAAACCTGGGAACCTAAACCCCTCATAACCCTCACCCCTGAGCCACGGCCAAGGAGGTGCAGCTGGGCTGAGGGCGACACAAAGTGCAGATCGAATCGAGGAGGTGAGATGCATGCGAGGGGGGCTGCTAGAGAAATACTCTGGTGAGCTCCAGTAGTGGGAGTGGTAACAGAAGCAGGTGGTAACAGAAGCAGGTGGTAACAGAAGCAGGTGGTAACAGAAGCAGGTGGTAACAGAAGCAGGTGGTAACAGAAGCAGGTGGTAACAGAAGCAGGTGGTAACAGAAGCAGGTGGTAACAGAAGCAGGTGGTAACAGAAGCAGGTCTCATCTGGTCTATGCTCTCTCAGAACCCATGTTGTGCTTGCAAGCCCACTCTAACTCGGTGCCTTCCATACCCTAATAACCCTGTATTTCTGTACGCTTTGACCCCGTGACCCTGTAACCTGCACCGCACTGTGAGCCGAGTGAGCTACCAGAAGTTTCTGCTGGATGGATGGACTATGCTCTCTCAGAGACCATGCTGTGCACGCAAGCCTTTTCGTGACTTCTTTGCACCCCTTTGGCATTCTGTAACCCTGTAACCCTGTATTTACCCACTATGCAGGGCACTGTGAGTCGAGTGAATTACCAGAAGTTCCTGCACTTTTGAGTCGACTCAAAAGTTCCTGCTGGCTGGACTATGCTCTCTCAGAGACCATGCTGTGCACTCAAGCACGCTCCAAGTAACTCTTTGATGCCCCGTGCGTGTGCCATCTCCCCACTCTGCAGCGCACTGTGGGCCGAGTGAACTACCAGAAGTTTCTGCTGGACTATGCTCTCTCAGAGACTATGCACTCAAACCCACTGCTTCTTCCACACCCCAACAACCCTGTAACCCTGTTACCCCCTTTATCTGCAGCGCACTGTGGGCCGAGTCAACTACCAGAAGTTTCTCCTGGACTATGCTCTCTCCGAGACTACTGTTGACTGGAACGACCGCCTGCTGCCGCCACAGGTAGGTGGGGCATGGTGGCATGGGTGGGTGGTGGCAGGGTCATGGTGCATAGTGGCATGAGTGTGGGGCATACACGGGGCATGGTATCACACTAGTGGTACCGACTCTCCTGCTGGACTATGCTCTCTCCGAGACCACTGTTGATTGGAACGACCGCCTGCTGAAGCCACAGGTAGGTGGGGTATGGTGGCATGGGGTATGGTGGCACGGGGTATGGGGGCATGGGGTATGGGGCATGGGGTATGGGGCATGGGGTATGGGGCATGGGGTATGGGGCATGGGCCAAGGGACACGGGGCTTGGGGCATGTGCCGTGTGCCGTGTGCCATGTGCCATGTGCTATGGGGCATGAGGCATGGTGGCGTGGCATATTGGCATGGGGCATGGATGTGTGTGATGCATGGGGCATGGGGCAAGGGGCATGGTGCATGATGCATGATGCATGATGCATGATGCATGGTGCATGGTGCATGATGCATGATGCATGATGCATGGTGCATGATTCATGGTGCATGATGCATGATGCATGATGCATGGTGCATGATTCATGGTGCATGATGCATGATGCATGATGCATGATGCATGATGCCTAGTATTTCTGAGCTGAGAACCGAGATGCCATTTACAGGGCGAGTTTTGCAAGAATGGAATGCTTTCATTGAGTGAATTCATTGACTTCATTGACTTCCAAGTGACTGCCGTCGACCTTTGATTGACTTTGGTTGACCTTTTAAGTTAAGGTGTTCATTTCCTTCAACGCAGTGCATTCTCTGTGTCGTGGTGCTGTGCTGTGATTTTGTTTGTGGTGTTATGCTATTGGGTGTGCTGTGATTTTGTTTGTGGTGTTATGCTATTGGGTGTGGTCTTATGCTACTGGGTGTGGTGTTATGCTATTGGGTGTGGTCTTATGCTACTGGGTGTGGTGTTATGCTATTGGGTGTGGTGCTGTGTCGTGCGCTGTGGTGTGGTCTGGTGTCATGGTCTGTGTGGCGGTGTGATGCTGTTTGATGTGGTGCTGTGCGGTGTGATTGGCTTTACAGAGGATGGAGGATGCACGCCGGGCTATAGCTAGCTGCACTGCCAATGGTGTTGTTGTCACGTCAAAGAAACTGCAACTCTGGAAGGTGGGTATTGTTCATTATTGCTTCTATTAATGGTGGGTATTGCTTGTTATTGCCCACGTGGAAGGTGGGTATCGCTTATTATTGTGCGTGCTGCCTGTGCTACCAACTGCCATTTTACCCGTTTTCAAGTGCCATGTACCAACACAAACACTGCCAACTGCCATGTACCCGTTTCCAAAGGCAATCCAAACAGGTTGCACCTCTCTCCCTGTCTTCTCTCCCTCCTCTCGCCGTCCTCCCTCCTCCCTCCTCTTCCCCTCCTCTCTCCACTCTTTCTCCTCTCTCACTCCTCTCTCCTTTCTTCCCTCTTCTCATCCTCTTCTCCCCTATCTCTCTCCCTCCTCTCTCCTCTCTCAAATATCCACTCTCATCTCTCCTTTTTCTCCTCTCTCTCCTCTCTCTCCTCTTTCTCTCTCTTCACTTCTCCCCTCACAGGGCTATGCATGCGATGCATCAGATGATGACATTTACTCCTTTCTCGAGTACGACCCAAACCGGCTCTGCCCCGATGACTGGTTGGCGACCCAGGCGCTCATATTCACTCCTCTCTCCCCCTCTTCTCCTCCTCTCCCCTCTCTCCCCCTCTCGTCGCCGCCTCTCCCCTCTCATCCCCCCTCACAGGGCTATGCATGTGATGCATCGGACGATGTCATTTACTCCTTTCTCGAATACGACCCAAACCGGCTCTGCCCACTCTCCCTTTACTCCTGACTTACCCCTCCCCTCTCTCCGCTGTCCCCCCCTCTCCTTTCCCCTCACAGGGCTATGCATGCGATGCATCAGACGATGACATCTACTCATTCCTAGAGTACGACCCAAACCGGCTGGGTCCCGATGACTGGATGGCGACCCAGGCGCTCATATTCACTCCTCTCTCCCCCTCTCGTCGCCGCCTCTCCCCTCTCATCCCCCCTCACAGGCCTATGCATGTGATGCATCGGAAGATGTCATTTACTCCTTTCTTGAATACGACCCAAACCGGCTCTGCCCGGCTCTGCCAAGATGATTGGCTGGCGACCCAGGCGCTCATATTCACTCCTCTCTCCCTCTCTTCTCCTCCTCTCCCCTCTCTCCCACTCCTCTCTCTCCTCCTCTCCCCTGTCTCCCACTCCTCTCTCCTCCTCTCCCTTCTCATCTCCCCTACACAGGCCTATGCATGCGATGCATCGGACGATGACATCTACTCCTTTCTCGAGTACGATCCAAACCGGCTGTGCCCAGATGACTGGCTGGCGACCCAGGCGCTCATATTCACCCACAACTGCTTCGCGCTGCCCAAGCGCCGCTGCATGGCGCGCACCAACCAGCTGTGGACTGAGGTACGTTGAACCTAGACCGTGTAGACCGAGATACATTGAATCTGGACTGGCTGGCGACCCAGGCGCTCTTATTCACCCACAACTGCTTCTCCCTGCCCAAGCGCCGCTGCATGTCGCGCACAAATCAAAGGTGGACCGAGGTACGTTGAATCTGGACCGACTGAGGTATGTCGAAACTAGACTGAGGTATGTCGAAACTAAAAGGTATGTCGAAACTAGACAAAGGTATGTCGAAACTAGACAAAGGTATGTCGAAACTAGACAAAGGTATGTTTCAGCCATGCTTACTTCAATTGCCTTCACCACCCGAGTCGTCTCCTTGCTTGTCCGCCTACCTCCCAGCCCTTGCCCTTCCGAGCAGCACTGTTCACTCAGGAAGCACTAAAGGAGGCAAACGTGCGGTGGAGCCTGCACTCCTGCAAGTCCTTCTCCCCTGCCTCTACTGCCAATGTGACATCCCCTCCTCTCCCTGCTTGCGCCCCTCCCCTCTCCCCCAGCCTCTGCCCTTCCCAGCGTCTCTCTTCACGCAGTCTGCACTAAAGGACGAGAACGTGCGGTGGAACCTACACTCGTGCAAGTCGTTCACGTGCCTCAACAAGCGCATGGTGGGGGACTGTCTGTCTCTCTGATATGCAAACACCCCTCCTCCCCCCCCCACACACAACTCTCCGCTCCCCCTGCTTCCTTCCAGCCCCTGCCCTTCGCAGCAGCACTGTTCACTCAGGGCGCACTGAAGGACGAGAACGTGCAGTGGAATCTACACTCGTGCAAGTCGTTCACGTGTCTCAACACGCGTGTGGTGGGGGACTGTCTGGATTTGTTTTAACTCCCTCTCGCCCCCAACCGCCTTCTTGCCCCAGCCGCTGCCCTTCCCAGCAGCGCTGTTCCCCCAGGGAGCTTCAAAGAACGAGAACGTGCGGTGGAGCCTTCACTTGCGCAAGTCGTTCACGTGTCTCAACATGCGCGTGGTGGGGGACTGACCGCCTTCTGATAGCTTCCTCCCCCAAACCCCCTGCTTGCTCCCATGCCTCCTCCCAGCCGCTGCCCTTCCCAGCAGCGCTGTTCACCCAAAGCGCACTGAAGGACGAGAACGTGCGGTGGAGCCTGCACTCCTGCAAGTCGTTCACGTGCCTGAACACGCGCGTGGTGGGCGACTGTCGCAACTGCTTCAACCTCACGCTGGAGAAGAACCGATGGCAGCGCGGGTTCCGAGGGTCGCTGCCCATTCCCGTCGTCATCAAGATGAAACGCGGGTCATTGAGGTGAGGAGAGGGAAGGTATGAGTGCTCAAAATCTGGAGAAGAACCGATGGCAGCGCGGGTTCAGAGGATCGCTGCCCATTCCCGTCGTCATCAAGATGAAACGCGGGTCATTGAGGTGAGAGGAGGGTGGGTTGGGCTGTTCTTGAAAGCTGCCTTGGCTCTGTGTGTGGTGGCGGTGGGGGACTGTCGCAACTGCTTCAACCTCTCTCTGGAGAAGAACCGGATGGCAGCGCGAGTTCCGAGGGTCGTTGCCCATTCCCGTCGCCATCAAGATGAAGCGAGGGTCGCTGAGGTGAGAGGAGAGGGTGCTGCCTTGTCCTTGTATGTGGCGTTGGTGTCAAGGGTCGCTGCCCATTCCCGTCGCCATCAAGATGAAGCGAGGGTCGCTGAGGTGAGAGGAGAGGGTGCTGCCTTGTCCTTGTATGTGGCGTTGGTGTCAAGGGTCGCTGCCCATTCCCGTCGCCATCAAGATGAAGCGAGGGTCGCTGAGGTGAGAGGAGAGGGTGCTGCCTTGTCCTTGTATGTGGCGTTGGTGTCAAGGGTCGCTGCCCATTCCCGTCGCCATCAAGATGAAGCGAGGGTCGCTGAGGTGAGAGGAGAGGGTGCTGCCTTGTCCTTGTATGTGGCGTTGGTGTCAAGGGTCGCTGCCCTTTCCCGTCGCCATCAAGATGAAGCGAGGGTCGCTGAGGTGAGAGGAGAGGGTGCTGCCTTGTCCTTGTATGTGGCGTTGGTGTCAAGGGTCGCTGCCCATTCCCGTCGCCATCAAGATGAAGCGAGGGTCGCTGAGGTGAGAGGAGAGGGTGCTGCCTTGTCCTTGTATGTGGCGTTGGTGTCAAGGGTCGCTGCCCATTCCCATCGCCATCAAGATGAAGCGAGGGTCGCTGAGGTGAGAGGAGAGGGTGCTGCCTTGTCCTTGTATGTGGCGTTGGTGTCAAGGGTCGCTGCCCATTCCCGTCGCCATCAAGATGAAGCGAGGGTCGCTGAGGTGAGAGGAGAGGGTGCTGCCTTGTCCTTGTATGTGGCGTTGGTGTCAAGGGTCGCTGCCCATTCCCGTCGCCATCAAGATGAAGCGAGGGTCGCTGAGGTGAGAGGAGAGGGTGCTGCCTTGTCCTTGTATGTGGCGTTGGTGTCAAGGGTCGCTGCCCATTCCCGTCGCCATCAAGATGAAGCGAGGGTCGCTGAGGTGAAAGTAGGTTTGACACTCGACCCTGAATGTTTTTTTTTTTTTTTTTTTTTAACCTGTGCATGCTCTATCTCATCACACTCCCTCAAATTTGTGACCGAATTTCAAGAAGTTGAAAAGAAACACTGCATAATTATCCACACCACTGCTCATGCATGTCTACTCCACTCCTGCCTGCACTCCCTCCTGCAGGCTCGGGCTAGACGCGGGCGGAGGCACGGGAACGTTTGCAGCGCACATGGCGCTTTACAACGTGACGTGTCTCACGACAGCGATGAATGTGGAGGCAGTGGCAGGGCGGACAGGCGGACTGCCTTACATGGAGACCCTGGCTCACCGGGGGCTCATCCCCCTCTGGTTACCACACAAGGTACTGTGCGAGTGGGTAGCACACAAGGTAGTGTTCGAGTAAAGGGACTGAAAAGCTGAACACTGAAGTAAGGTGAATGTGGAGACGGTGGCAGGGTGGACAGGCGGACTGCCTTACATGGACACTCTGGCTCACCGGGGGCTCATCCCTCTCTGGTTTCCACACAAGGTACTGTGCGAGTGGGTAGCACACAAGGTAGTGTTCGAGTAAAGGGACTGAAAAGCTGAACACTGAAGTAAGGTGAATGTGGAGACGGTGGCAGGGTGGACAGGCGGACTGCCTTACATGGACACTCTGGCTCACCGGGGGCTCATACCCCTCTGGTTACCACACAAGGTACTGTGCGAGTGGGTAGCACACAAGGTAGTGTTCGAGTAAAGGGACTGAAAAGCTGAACACTGAAGTAAGGTGAATGTGGAGACGGTGGCAGGGTGGACAGGCGGACTGCCTTACATGGACACTCTGGCTCACCGGGGGCTCATCCCTCTCTGGTTACCACACAAGGTACTGTGCGAGTGGGTAGCACACAAGGTAGTGTTCGAGTAAAGGGACTGAAAAGCTGAACACTGAAGTAAGGTGAATGTGGAGACGGTGGCAGGGTGGACAGGCGGACTGCCTTACATGGACACTCTGGCTCACCGGGGGCTCATCCCCCTCTGGTTACCACACAAGGTACTGTGCGAGTGGGTAGCACACAAGGTAGTGTTCGAGTAAAGGGACTGAAAAGCTGAACACTGAAGTAAGGTGAATGTGGAGACGGTGGCAGGGTGGACAGGTGGAGTGCCTTACATGGACACTCTGGCTCACCGGGGGCTCATCCCCCTCTGGTTACCACTCTTGCCTCTCGTTGGCATCGCTCTGGCATCAGCTGCATCAAGTATCGCCCCTCTGTTGACACGTGGTCTCTTGCTCTTTCCCTCTTTCCACCCTGTCATTCACGCAGGCATGCTTGCCTCTCTTTGACAACACACTAGACCTGGTTCACTGCGTACAGCATCAAGTATCTCCCTGTGTTGACACGTGCATTCTGTCTACAGCATCCAGTATCCCCTTGCGTTGTCTCCCCGCCCCTTCCCCCGCACAGGCACGCTTGCCCCTCTTGGACAACACGCTAGACCTGGTGGTGCACTGAGTCAACAGCATCAAGTATCTCCCTGTGTTTACTCTTGTTCCCCTCTCCTCCTCTTCTTCTCCCCACCCCTTCCCTCACACAGGCTCGCTTGCCCCTCTTTGACAACACGCTAGACCTGGTGGTGCACTGAGTCAACAGCATCAAGTATCTCCCTGTGTTTACTCTTGTTCCCCTCTCCTCCTCTTCTTCTCCCCACCCCTTCCCTCACACAGGCTCGCTTGCCCCTCTTTGACAACACCCTAGATCTCGTGCATTGCGTCAACAGCATCAAGTACCTGCCTGTGTTGGAATTCGAGGAGCTCATCTTCGAATGGGACAGGGTTCTCCGAGTCGGTGAGTGGGAAAGTGTATGTGTATGCGTGTGTGTGTATGCGTATGCGTGTGCGTGCGTGTATGTGCGAGTGCGCGTGTGCGTGTCAACAGCATCAAGTGCCTGCCTGTGTTGGAATTCGAGGAGCTCATCTTCGAGTGGGACAGGGTTCTTCGAGTCGGTGAGTTCTTCGAACGGGACAGGGAGTCTCGGCTTGTTGCTCAAATAGGGTGCATTGCGTCAACAGCATCAAGTACCTGCCTGTGTTGGAATTCGAGGAGCTCATCTTCGAGTAGGACAGGGTTCTTCGAGTCGGTGAGTGGATGGGGATGTGAGCGTGTGTGCGTGTGTGCGTGCGCTTGTGCGTGCGCGTGCGCGTGTGCAAGTGCGTCTGCGTGTGCGTCAACAGCATCAAGTATCTGCCTGTGTTGGAATTCGAGGATCTCATCTTCGAATGGGATTGGGTTCTTCGAGTCGGTGAGTGCTGTTTGTTGTCTGTTGTTTATTCTTCTTTGATTTTTTTCTTCTTGTACCAGTTTGTCATTCGTTCTTCCTTTGATGCGCTTATCATTGTCGGCTTCGTGCTGAAATTCAAGGGAACCTCTTGTTAGACATGTGCAACGACTCGCCTCGCTCTTTGCTCATGTCTACCACATGTGAGTCCACCATCTAAGGCTATGGTGGGCTTTGGATGCTAAGGTCTTGAGTGATGAATTCGTTATGGAGAATGTCAAGGGAGTTCCATCAGTTAATTTTGCACCTTTTGGTTCAGATAATGCCGTGACACCTGTCACTCCCTGAGTCTTTCTCAATGCCGTTTTGTGCAGGGCTTTTCCCGTCTTTTGACGAAACATCGGCTATCGTCTGTTACCGGTGCTTCAGGATTTCAATGCACCCATCTGAACTTCTGCACGTCTTGATTCTTCCACCTGCCACCCCATTTCACTGCACTGCAGGTGGAGTCATGTGGTTTGAGATGTTCTACGCGCCTCTTGATGAAATGCCACTCTATATCGCTATCATCGAGCAGCTACAGTACAAGAAGCTACACTGGAACATTACTCCCAAGCCCGACAGTGGCGAGCGGAAGGGCATGCATGTTTATTTGAACTGTGTTATCGAGAAACCCGTGCGCCGAGACAGATAAGGCTGTCAAGCCAATTCCTTTCTGCAGCACTTTCCTTGTGCCGTACACTGTGCTTTTTATGGTAAAATGTTGTGTATTGTTAATCTCCTACACCTGTTCTTGCCAAAGGTGTACACCTGTGGGCATTAATGGACAGGTAGGATAGGATGACAGTGCGCTGAAGGAAGAATAACAAGTAACACGTGATTGACATTCTTGAAACCACATTACCGATTTGCCCCCACGTTGCAAGCAAAAAACATGTGACTTATCCCCCCTCACTTACCGTAATACCCCGGATATAAGACCCCCTCCAGTTGTAGACCCCTGGGTCTATAATACGGAGGGGGGTACGCTAAATAGGTCGTTTTTGTTATACCCCCCTAAATGGGGGCTAACATTATAAGACCCCCCTCCCCCTAGAGAATCGGTCGTTTTATTGGCAATGAATGCAATTCGGATAGCTTTTCTGCCCCTTTCCACACCAAATTTTATAAAATTTTCATTAACGAGGGGTACAACCAGTCACAAAAGCACATATACTCATCATCATGTCAATTTCGTGTAATAATTTGGATGCTAAACACGAATTTCATTGCGCGTATTCCCTTCTTATGCTAAAAACTAAGCACATAGTGTTGACATGTATAACTTCCAAAATATAAGTAGTATAAATGACCTTATGATAAGACCCGGGTCTTATAAAATGTAGCCAACTGTTAAGACCCCCCCTCATTTTTGGGGTGTGATTCTTATAATACCCCCGGGTCTTATATCCGGGGTATTACGGTATTCATCTGTCATTCATAAAAAGTTTGCGTGTGTTTCAGACTCTTAAGCGGTTTGATTGTGTGTCATTTTCCAAAGCTTATTCTCAAGAATCATTGTATTTTTCATGAAAAGTTTGCGTGTGTTTCATGTCAGAATCAACAGGCAGGAATGTAGGAACAGAAGAGGGGTTGCACTAGCAGCAGATAGGATACATATAGCAAACCCTAATTTGGGTTGTACTCACTATAGAGTACCCCACTGCAGACTAGACAATTACTGTATTCTGACACACCCCCATAGGGAAAGTGGGGTATGATCAGCACAACAAGCAGTCGCATAAGAAGTTCTCAAGCACAAGCGAAGCTAGGGGCAGTCACAGAGGGCAAGTGAGGAGGAGGAGGAACTATGAGAGGAGTGGAGATAGGAGGGCGGCCCCTGAAGCTGCTGGCACACGACGCAAACTGGAGTGGCGCACGAACGACTGGTGCAACTGGCACACGGGCAACTGGAGTAACTGGCTCTGCTCGCCGGCAAGAGCAACTGACCCACGGGCTACTGGAGCAACTGGCACACAGGCTCCTGGCGCAACGCCTCACGGGCGACTGGAGCTGCAGACTTCACGACGGCTACCTCCGTTCAACCTCCCTGCCCCAAACCCCCTTTTCACATCCCCCTCTGCATCCCTAGCATCACTCCCACGACACCCCCCTAGCGCCATTCCCTCGGCTCCCACACACCCACCCCCCTCAGCGGCAGCTGCAGTAGTGGGAGACGGAGGAGGAGGAGGAGAAGGGGACGGCTCATACACCCGCCACCCCCATACCCCCAACGCAGGCGGCGTACGTGCGGCGCGGGGCAGAAACGCGGGCAGCAGCTGGGGCGGTGTGTGAGCAGAAGCGGGGCGGCGCGAAGAGCGATGGGATGGGGCAACGCGCGGCCCCCCTGGGCGCCGCGACGGACGACGGGCAGGGCGGCGCGCAGGCCCCCGGGGCGCCGCGACGGGCGACGGGAGGGGGCGGCGCGCGGGCCCCCGGGGCACCGCGACGGGCGACGGGAGGGGGCGACGCGCGGGCCCCCAAGGCGCCGCGACAGGCGACGGGCAGGGCGGCGCGCGGGCCCCGGGGCGCCGCGACGGGCGACGGGAGGGGACAGAGCGCGGGCCCCCGGGGCGCCGCGACGGGCGACGGGATGGGGCGACGCGCGGGCCCCCAGGTCGCCGCGATGGGCGACGGGCAGGGCGGCGCGCGGGCCCCCAGGGCGCCGCGACGGGCGACGGGGGGGGCCGCGCGCGGGTCCATGGGGGCGCCGCGATGGACGACGGGGCGTGAAACCGTCGCGCGCGCCCAGGGCGCGCGGCGGGCAGGAAACCGCCACGCGCCCCGAGCGCGTGGCAGGCAGAAAACCGCCACGCGCTGAGCGCGTGGCGGGAAGAAAAAACGTCGCGCGCCACGGGGCGCGCGACAGACAGTACAGCAGCGGAAGCAAGTGGGCTCACAGGCCAGGAGCGTCGTCGCTCTGATAGCATGTCAGAATCAGTAGGCAGGAATGTAGGAACAGAAAAGGGGTTGCATTAGCAGCAGATAGGATACATATAGCAAACCCTAATTCGGGCTGTACTCACTATAGAGTACCCCACTGCAGACTAGACAATTATAGCATTCTGACATTTCAGACTGTTAAGCGGTTTGATTGGGCTCTGGCTGGAAAGGTAGCATGAAAGTCGAGGTTACCAATCGCAGCTTTGATTCTTCAAGGTATTTTGACGTGAAGAGTCCGATTTGTGTGTGTGTGTGTGTGTGTGTGTGTGTGTGTGTGGTGTGTGTGCGTGGGTTGTATATGTGTGTACATATTTGTGTGTGTGTGGTTGTGTGTGCGTGTGCGTGTGTGGTACCGTAGGACACGAACCACGTATAGTGTCAAACATTGTATATGTTTATATTCTGTAGGCTATAGTGGGTTTAGCCTTAGGGGGTACAACATCCTAGGGTTTCCTACTTGTACTCCCAAACCTGCTAGTTCAAACACACTTGTTGATTCTAACATGGTATCAGAAGCCTAGGTTGCCACCTAGGACCGCTTTCTACTACGGGCCCACTATTCCGCTAGAAGCGCCCTCGTGCGCCCTACCTTACGTGCGCCCTCGTGCGCCTTTCTCAGCTCGTGCGCCCTCGTGCGCCCTGTTTTTTCTGCTAGTGCGCCCTCGCGCGCCCCGCCCTTCGGTCTGCCCGCGTGCCGTCCTGCAGCCCTCGCGCTGCCTCCTGCAAGCTAGTACGGCCCTCGAGCCGCCCCTGCAGGTCCGTCAGGCCCCCGAGCCGCCCCTGCAGGTCCGTCAGGCCCCCGAGCCGCCTCTGCAGACCCGTCAGGCCCCCGAGCCGCCTCTGCAAGCCCGTCAGGCCCGAGAGCCGCCCCTGCAGACCCGCGGCGTCGTCACCTGTCCGCGGCGTCGCCACCTGCCCGCCGCGTCACCCTGCCCGCGACGTCGCCCCTGCCTGCCGCGTCGCTCTGCCCGCGGCGTCGCCCCTGCCCGCGGCGTCGCCCCTGCTCGCCGCGTCGCCCTGCCCGCGGCGTAGCCACCTGCCCGCCGCGTCGCCCTGCCCGCGGCGTCGTCACCTGCCCGCGGCGTCGCCCCTGCCCGCCGCGTTACTCTGCCCGCCGCGTCGCCCCTGCCCGCGGCGTCGCCCCTGCTCGCCGCGTCGCCCTGCCCGCGGCGTCGCCACCTGCCCGCCGCGTCGCCCTGCCCACGGCGTCGCCCCTGCCCGCCGCGTCGCCCTGCCCGCCGCGTCGCCCCTGCCCGTGCGTCGCCCCTGCCCGCTGAGTCGCCCTGACCTAACCCGCGCCTCGCCTCTGCAGCAGCCGCCCCTGGCCCCTGGAGCAGCCGCCCCTACAGCAGCCGCCCCTGGCCACTGGAGCAGCCGCCCCTGGAGCAGCCGCCCCTGGCCACTAGAGCAGCCGCCACTGCAGGAGCCGCCCCTCGCCCCTGGAGCAGCCGCCCTGCAGCAGCCGCCCCTGGCCCTTGGAGCAGCCGCCCCTGCAGCAGCCACCCCTGGCCACTGGAGCAGCCGCCCCTGGAGCAGCTGCCACTGCAGGAGCTGCCCCTGGCCCCTGGAGCAGCCGCCCCTGGAGCAGCGGCCCCTCGAGCGGCCGCTGTGGCGGCCCCGCAGTCACCTCGCTCGTGCGCCTGCCCTTCCCACCACTGGTGAGCACTGCCCTGCCCGTGCTGCTACTGCTGTTACTGCTGCTGCTACTGCTTCTACTGCTGCTCCTGGCGTGGCCAGATGCAGCTCCAGGGCCGTCCACGTGTGTCCCTCACGCCCCAGCAGCTTTGTGAGTGGTACGCCAGTTGGGGTTGTCGGGGTGGCAGTAGTGGGAGTCGTCCTGGAGTGGGTCGTTCGGGAGTTTCTTGTAGTGGCCCGGTGCAGCAGCAGCGTCGTCTACGCGAGGCTCTTTCGCCCCAGCAGCTTCGTGAGTGGTACGCTCAGAGTAGAGGGTCACTGAGTACTGCTCGCTGCCCGTACGTCATTCGCACAGGTGTCCAGACTGGTCAGCCTTGCGGGACACGTGGTCACACAGAGTCCCACTGCTTCGCCCGTCTGGGCGACGCTTGGCGTACAGGACTTGGCGACGACGCTGAGCTCCCCGACTGGGTGGAGCTGCTTAGGCAGAGGGTAGATATCTTTGCTCTTGACTATGATGCTATCCTCACTGCCATGAATGCATTGTCTACTAGTGCCGAGAGTGCCTGTCACCTGTGTGTGCCGCCTGACCCCGGTATCCAGTCTGCTGCTCTAGGTACTGGTGAGGCTGCCGCACTAGGTGCTCGTGTGTCTGTTGCCTCAGGTGCTGGTGAGGCTGCCGCTCTAGGTGCTAGTGCGTCTGCTGCCCCAGGTGCTGGTGAGGCTGCTGCTCTAGGTGCTCGTGAGTCTGCGCCCCCTAGTACTGAGTCTACTGAGGCACTGCACACCTTCACACTGGACTCAGGTGCTTCTCGCTGCTTCTTTCGTGACCGCACTGTCCTTGAGCAGCTTGCTCGACCAGTTGCTGTCTCCCTTGCTGACCCCTCTGGGGGTCCGGTCATTGCGACCTCCTCCACTGTCCTTCCTTGTCCTGCGGTTCCGTCGGGCACACTGTCAGGTCTCCACCTCCCCTCGTTCTCTACGAACTTGGTGGCGGGTTGTGCGCTCCAGGACGGGGGTGTCCACCAGTTCACCCCTGCCTACGAGCGCGTGACACACTGCACGTGTGCTCGGACG